GAGGTAGGATGGGGGCCCCGTAGCACCCTTGCTGTATTCCTGAGCTTCTAGCACACAGTGAGAACCTCACCCCAAGCCTGCTTCACTCTGGTGAGACCCAAGATGTCTGTGAGTTATTTCCTCCATGAGGCTAAGGTTCTCATGCCTCCTCATCTCTCTGGCCTCCTTCGCTAGGTCGTCTCGAGGCTGGATGGACACAGAGCAGGGGTGTTACCTGGTCAGTAGCGAAGCCCCCTGCCCTTCCTGCCCCATGGATGCTGTGGGAATCTGTCTTAGCTTGAGATGAAAGGTCAGGGTCTGGTCCCAGCTGCATTCGGTCTCTGTCACTGGTCAGGGGTGTGCATTGGTCACCCTGCCTTTCCTGATCTAGCTTTGTAGAGCTTAAGTAGTAAAAGAGGAATGGCGATAGCGGCCATCTTGCCTCACTCAGCCCAGCTCTCCAGATCCCTCCAAGCTTTGTGTCAGAAATGGAACCTGAGGCTCCACACCAGCCCTGACCCGAATCCATGAGCCCCAGCAATGCAGATGTCCCTGAACATTCACCACCGCCTCTTCCTGGACCCCACAGTCCGCCTGGAGCAGGAGGGTGATCCTTATTCTGCAGATGAGGACACGGAGGTGGGCGGAGCTTGTTCCAGCTGGCAGCAGCCTTCTGAGCTGGGCTCTAGGGTCACGGGCTGCCTGCTTGAATCCTGCTCTGCCTTGCAACCACTGGGCCTAACTCTTCCCCTGTGAGAGGGATGCAGGAAGCAGCATCCCAGAATGGGAAGAAGAGCCAAACCAGACCCAGCATACAGAGTGCTCAGCACGGAGCCCAGCACATCAGTGCACCCAAGAGTCTAGAAGCCTTATTAATAATGATACAAACCGTCTGCCTCCGTGGCTTGCTCTCTCCCCACCCCCACCGTCTTTCTAAGGATTGGAGAGGCAGCTGGCAGTGGGAGGTGGTTGCCTTAAATATAAGATGAGGAGAACAAAGGGAAAATAGAACAGGGGAGGGGGTGGTGTGTGGCTACACCCACCCTCCCCCTCCAAACTTGGGGGGGAAAGATCTAGGGTCCCAAGCCACCAACCAACCAGCACCAGTCTCTTGAAGGGTATGAAGCATATGTCCCCAAGGCTCTTGAGGAAGTGAGCCTTGCTGTGCAGTCAGGCTTGCCTGCTGGGATAGGACAATGCCGGTTTGGATCAGGACTCCACCACCAGGGTAGGTACTTCCTGCCTGGCTGTAAGGTTGGCCTCAGAGAAGCAGGAAGTAGGTTGAGGTCCTAGGGTTTCTCTGCCCACTTCCAAGACAACATGAAATATTTACTAGAGAGTCTCTGTAGGCTCCATGAACTTCAAAAGGCTGTGCCCCTCCAGCTGCTCACCCTCCTTGGTTGCCATGGAGCCCGTGACCAAGTCCGTGCCCTCCACCTCATTGATCCAGCACTGTCCTTCGTGTCCTCCACTCTCCTCAGAGCCTGTGGTTCTTAGTCTTTGCCATTCTCTAAGCTGGCTAACACCACTCACTTCTCTTCCAGGGAAAGTACTGGCACTGGGCTTCCAACTGTGTGTGACAAGGCTAGCCACTTCCCCCTTGAAGTTTCAGACTCATGCTGGAGGGCAGGAGGAGGGGACCAAGGTGTCCTCCGTACCAGCAGAGAGCCACAACACAGGTGCGCCTCATGCCGTCTCTGAGGGCGGAAGCAGCTCAGCAATAGGTGAGCCAAGGCCAGGCCCAGAATGTGGAGCGCCCTCTTTCCCCCCAGCAGGGCAGAGGTGAATAGAAGGGCTGAAAATTCAGCAGGTACCAGGAGGACCATGGGCCTGGCGGCATGGGCCTGGCTGGAGTGTTGTTTCCTGGCTAGATCTTGGGTTAACTAGTCATTCTTTGAACCTAACTTCTCAACTTGTAAATGAGACCTTCCCTGCCTCAAAGGTCTGCTAAGGCTTCGTGAAGTGACGTGTCACCAGGGAGGAAGCCCAGGGGCTATCAAGCGGGGTGGGGGACTTTCACAGAGGAAGAACCTTCCCCCAGAAAACGCCATTGTGCTTCCCTCAGCCATGACTTGCTCAGTGTGCCGCCCTCAGCTGCCATGTCTATGCCCCACTTGCCTGGCCACTGGCTCTTTGTGGTTGTGCCCCTCTCTTCTTCAGCTGTGGGACACCCAAAGGGGAAGTCCTGGGTGACCATGGCTGGGCTGAACCTCGGTACGCAGAGCTTCTGGGGTCAAGAAAAGAAACCCCTGGAGATCCATGACACAGGCCTTTAGTAGAGGTGGTCTCGGCCAGCTGGCCAAAACAGGCCTTTAAGGAATAGACCTGGGCAGCGGCAGCACATGCCTTTAATCCCAGCACTTAGGAGGCAGAGACTGTGTGAATTCAGTCTGGTCTATAGAGGCCAGTCTGGTCTATAGAGTGAACTCCAGGAGAGCCAGAACTACACAGAAAAACCCTGTCTCAAAAACAAAACAAACAAACAAACAAAACAAAACAAAAAGGGAGATGTCTCAGTAATTAAAAGCATTTGCTGCTCTTGCAGAGGACCTGAGTTTGCTTTCCGGCATCCACATCCGGCAGCTCAGAACTGTCTGCAATTCCAACTGCAGGAGCCGCTGCCCTCTTCTGGACCTTGCTGGCACCTGCACTCACAGGTGGGGATGGCCACACCCACACACACGTGGACATTTGCACAGCTATCTAGCATCTGTCTTTGTGAGCCAGAACGTGTGTGCGCGCACACGCCACGTTAGCTGCTAGGTGAACCGTCCGTAAGAAGGCCCAACAAGACACCTGGCGGTGCAGGCACCCGTGAGCGGATGCAGCGTCCTTACCCACACCATGCTCCTTCTGGAAAAGCTAGTGGCAGACACAGCTGGGCCATCTTACACAGATATGAACATAGAGGTTTGACACTCAACAGTCTTCAGATTTGGGCCTCTGACTTCTCATGCAATGGTTCCTTTCCCAAATGCATTTAACGTGACACAGTCCTAGGAGCCTGGAGGGCTTTGTTGGCTGTTGACGTCGTACAGAAGTGCTCAGAGGAAAGTAAACACCCCAGTCGCAATGACCACGTACAGCTGTCAAGAAACGGATCTCTTGAGTGGTTCATCTCCACTCCGTCCCTACTGGTCATTGCTCTTGTGTTGAGGTGGACGGAGGTATCTGACTGAGGCATGGACATGACCGTGGTGTCCTCCACAGGCGTTTCTCTTTTTAGAAAGAAGAATTTATTTATACCATGAAGGTGGCGGGCTGTGCAGTAACTAGAGGACCATCATGCAGTGTGTGTGTGTGTGTGTGTGTGTGTGTGTGTGTGTGTGTGTGTGTGAATGAGCCTGAGGTTGACATTGGGTGTCTTCCTCAACTGCTCTCCACCTTATTACAGTTTTGCTTATGTATTCTGAGTGCATGCTGCCGCACCTGGCCCTTTGCACAGGTTCTGGGGCTCAGTGTTTGGAGTCATGTGTTACATGTTAGCAGAGACATGGGAGTAATTATGATAAATATTTCTTAGGTGTGCAGAAGTAAATATTTTTCATGCTTGCCTTGTACTGAAGAAAAGCTGAAGTTGGAGGTGTCCTAGTTTCCTTTCTGTTGCCATAATAAAATATCCTGAAAATTTTCGGAGGGAGAAAGGGTTTTCTTTAGATCTGAATCCCAGGTTGCAGTCACTGTGGGGAGGTCACAGTGGGCTTGAATCAGACAGTCACATCACATCTGCAGTCAAGAGCAGACATGCTCACTTGCTTGCGCTTTGCTGTTTCTCCGCTCTCACAGGTTCAGGACCCCCTGCTTAGGAATGGTGCCGCCCACAGTGGGCTAAGGCTTCCCACATCACTGAAGACAACCTCACACAGACTGGCCACAGGCCACTCCACTATAGACAGTCCCTCACTGAGACTCTCTTCCCAGGTGACTCCAGGTGTGTCCACAACTCAAGCCAACTGCCAGCGGTGTCATTAGGCAGTTAACTATGGCTTTATGTGGGGCCAACAGGGAGAGGGGCACTTGATGTCTAGCTGTAACAGTGTCCTTTTCTACCTTTTATCCTTAAACTATAATTATGTTTTCACATACTGTTGAGGAGGAGGAGGGGAATGGGATGGGAGAGAAAGGTGGAAGGGAGAAGGTGGGGAGGAGTGGGGGAGGAAGAGGAGGAGCCTGCCCAGGGCTGCTGTGGTGCCCTATCACCTATCTGCCTGACAGTGGCCACACAGCCGCGCTCCCTGGGAGCAGGCGGGGTCCACAGTGCCCGTGCTGACACAGGCTGGGGCTGCCTGTGGGCCTGTGGCACTGTATGGCCTGAACCCTATACCAGCCCCAGCCTGCTGAGTTTCCCAGCCCAGGTGGGCCAGTGCACACCACTTGGGTGTCAGCTGAGCAAACCCTCCAGCAACCTCTGGAGGCCAGTGTCACACCCACTCTACAGGCAAAGCTGCTGAGACCTAGAACACAACAAAGGGATCAGATCTGGGGACCTTGGGGCCCATAATCCCAGCCACCACTCCACCTTGGCTGCTGGCTAAAGCAGCCTCACTTGCCAGCACCCACGTGTGGCAGATTAAGGCAAGAACAGATGCAAGGCAGGCGCTGATCAGCCGCAACTATTCCAGGCTGGTGCCCCTCACCGCCTCCTGCACCACCCCACCTGGGCACCACCTCCAGTCTCAGGCACAGGGCTGCCCACCTCTCTAGCAGCAATGGAGCCAAGGAGCTGCCTCCCTCCTGGTCCAGAAGGGCCGATTCCTACCCCTCACATCTGCCCAGATGGCTATGCTGACACTTCTGACCTGTGCAGAGGCTTGCACGCAGGCACATACGTGCACTCGAGCGCACACAGGCACAGACACTCACTCGCCCCTCCCCAGGGGCACTGCACTGGTCTTTTTGCATCGTTGTCCAGAGGATCTGATGGAAATCTGCTACAACTGGGCGCACACACAGGCGGATTCGGGCTGAACAGAGCCCTTGTTCTGGGGAACCTCAATACACCATAGACTAAGTTTAGTTTTTGGTCATTTAATTGTAAAAACCAAGACATTTATATAAATAAGACCACTGTGTAAAATATGATTCACCCTTCTACTAAAACCCTTCTTCCCACACTCAAAAAGAATCTAGAAAAGCCAGCAAGGTAAGAAGTACAAATAGCATGCGGTCCCTGATGAAGTCCCTGGCAGGCCAGGTTTCCCTGCTAACGGGGCCTCACGGTGAGAGCACTCCTGGCCCAGGCATCTCACCGGAGCTCAGCAACCCCTGGAGAACTCATTCTGCACCAGGCCCTGGCTCTCAGCCATGCCGCCGGTCTGGTGGAGGTGCTGTGAAAGGTTCCTGTGGCCTGGGCTGGGAGAAGGGGACAGGAAGACTGTGATGCCAAAGCCAGGACTGTGAACTGCTGCTGGTCCGGTAGGATGCGGTGGTCTGGTCGGCCCTGGGTCAGGCTGGGGGAGGGGAGAGGGAGCCCCTTCCCCAATGACAAGGACAGAAGGGCCCTGTGTCTCCTCAGAGGAGACAGGAGAGGAGTCTCTTCTTAGGCTGCTTCCACATAGCCACTAATGACAAGGGAGGGAGATACTTCCCAACAGTCCCTGGGGGCAGAAGGGTTTTGGGGCTCCTAGGATGAAAAAGTGGGACCAGTCCATTCTAAGGAGGAAATCCCATGACCTCACCCCTTCACCTGTCATATAATCCCACCCCTCATACACACAGAGATGTCTGTCCACAGCTCAGGACTCAGGGGAAGACAACGGAGAACCTGGGAGTGGAGATGTCACTCTAGGTGTGGCTCAGGAAACCGGGCACAAAGACAAAAGAAAAAGACTGTCAACTCTCCTTGCAAGAGCCTAGGCGGCTCCCCAGCCCAGCGAGGCAGGATTGCTGCAGGGATGATGTCAGGAGCACTTCCACACACACACGGCCAGGGTCCCCCCGAAGTACAGGTAGAGCAGATTCTTCACCTCATGGGTGATCTCGAACCCAAAGCCCTCGCCGATCACCACATGCCAGGAGGAGCCGAACTTCTTGTCCATTGTCTCTTTGATCATCTTTGCAGCACTCTGGAAGGGAGAGGGTCCCAATCAGGGGCAGTGACAGGCACAAGCCAGTTCCTGCACCAGGAAGGAGAAGCGTGGTGCTGAGCTCTGGACAGAAACAGGCTGCTGCCTCGGCCTGACATCAGTCTGCCCTTGAGACCACCGCAGCCGTTTCTACACAGCAGCCCCCCGCAGGGCTATGACAGGGGAACAGCACCGGGACACCTCGTCAGTCAGTCAGGAACTGGTAGAGGTGGGGAGGCACAGAGGCTTGAGGAAGCCTGAGCGGAGGGCTGGCTGTTACTCTGGGCTCCGGAGCAGCACCAACACCCCCAGCTGTGCACCAGAAAACAGGGACACGAACATAGGCTGTTGCAGAGACGAGAGGAAATAACACCGAGCACTGTGTGCCCATCGCCTCTGTCTGAGGAAAGAGGTGCCATCACCCCTAGCCTACAGATCGGGCTCTGGGGTGAGAGCTGAGAACTAGTTTGTACTGAGAACAGTCACAGAGGGCTGTGGATGGGATGTGGCCACATCCACCCTTCCTCACCACAGCCTCATGAATGGCACCGCTGGCTGGTACCTGTGGCCACATTTCTAGGACCGAGCCCAATACCTGTAGCGGAGCTGGGACTCTACTCTTTCTGAATGGATGGATGAATTCATGGATGAATGCCTGGCAGGCCTCTGTTCATGGCTGGGATGAGCCCAGGAAGATGCCCTAGCCAAACAGCCCTCTTGAGGGCAGAGGTGCTGTGGAGACCCTGTTGGCTTCCCTCCCTCTGGGGCTCAGTGTGGCCCTTGGTTCCCTGGCTAGAACCAACCTCTCCTCTCACTGGCCTTCCAGAACAGTGACCACCTCCAAGCAAGGCTCTGGCCTTGTCCCGGCAGGTCTGTAGAGCTGGCTACGTGGCTCTGGAGCCACCCTACCACACAGGGTCACAGAGGCACAGGGGCCGCCTGCACTGATGGCAATACCTCGTTGTTGTTGGAGAATTTCTCACAGGCTGTGACACAAAGCTCCATGGTCTCCACTCGCATCTCCTCTGGCATGTCCGAGTGCTAGAGACAGGGCAGGGTGACAAACAGAGAGAGGCTTAGCCGTGACCTGGCCTTCCTGGCCAGCCTCTCAGTCTTAAGCTTAAGGAATGAACACTAGGTGGCTTCCCTGGCTCATCCCTGGGCAAGTGATTTATCCATGGCTGGGGCCTACAGCTAGGGCAGAACAGGTAGATGGAGCTGAACTACAGACTCTGGGGCCCATGGCCCTCTGCGAGGAACATGTGTAGGAGGGAGCCCCACCTTCACTTTCTTCCCCGGGCACCCAGACCCCACCCATAGTGAGCACCTTGGCCAGGGCCAACCTCACATCTCCACTACAGGCCTGACTACTACATCTCATGTCAGCCTTAACATGGTCCTCTGAATCCACTCTCCTAAGTACAACGAGAGCGACTAACGAAAACAACATGAGTCAATGCCACCCTACGTCTGTCCCCTCACTGCTCCTGGGACCTCAGGACAGACTCCATATTCCTCACCATGTTCCTCGAGTGGCTACCATCCAGGCCTGCACAGGCCGACACCACCATCACTCTGCCCCTCAGACCTGCCACTCTTCAGGGGCTCAAGCCAGACATGACTATCCCAAACTTGTCCCACTCAGTCTCCGAGGGGAGGATCCTTCCTCACGTCCCTGTAGGGCCTGCCGCCTAACTTGATGACACTCACTGATCTGACTTCTTCCAGGCATTGGCCCCTATACCATTCAGTTTTTCTTTCTAGTACTTACTGCCTGCCACTGTGTGCTTTCATGGCGGTGAGACCATCACCTGCCTTGTTGGCCACCATCTCCGCCTGTGACATACAGCAGGTGGCCTGGGCACAATTTGGTGAATGAATGAATGAATGAAAGAATGAGTTGCTGTGACTGTAGATGTTTGGGCTGGAGCCAGCAGAGCCCTGGTCTCCTCACTGCAAGCTCCACCCACCTGCAGGCCATGGGCGTGGTGGCAACTTTCCTCCCTCCTGAAGCTTACCCTGACCAGGGGGAAGGTCTGCAGCCGCTTATAGTCAGCATCCTCTTTCTTGCCTTCTGCCTCTCCCATGATCTTCCCAGTGTGCCCTCAGGAGAGTGGGGCTTTCAGGAGGCACCGGGCCCAGCAGTCACAGCGCCCGCCGGGCTCGGCAAGCAGGCCTTGCCAACTTGGCGGGAGCAGAAAATGTCTTTCCCCAAGGGGTGCTGCAGAAAACAGGAAAAGCAGGAGGGAAGAGTTGGCTTCAAAACCACACATCACAAATTAGAAATGTCTCGGTGACAATCTGACACCTCCCCATCTCAACGCCTCTGCCTCCTTTCCCAAATGGCCAGCAAGTCTGCAGACGGAGGGTGAGTCAACCCGAGATGCTGCAAGAACACACTGTCATTGTCAAGACAGATACTGACTGTGGGCCAGACCCAGGGTGGAGAGGAGAGCTACCAGTTAGCAAGGACAGTTTCTGAGGGCTGATGACAGCCTGTCTGGTAGGAAGGAGGCCAAATGCACAGGTGACCACTGGCAATCTGGGCTGTCCCCAAGGGAGGGGCCCTTCTGCAGGACCCTGCTCTGCAGAGTGCTGCGCTACTGTGCTGTGTGGTGGCTTTCTTGGCTTACTAAGTGCCTTGATGGTCCCTGCTTACTCTACCCAGGGCCGCTAGGTCCCAGGAGCTGGAAGGCCCAGGCACTGGTATCAGTTCAGCCAATGACCAGCAGCACAGCCTGGGGCAAATGAGTTCTCATCAGTGACTGGGGCCACACCCTGGGAAGTCAATGAGAGAAGGCCTGTAAAGCAGGCAACTGGGTGTCACTTGGTCAGTGTCTGTTCCCTTCCTCTGGCTCCCAGGGGACTTAATAGCAGTTTTAGACTCTTTTTCTCCCCTCTATCCCCAAGACAGGGTTTCTACAGTTTTTTCTAGTCACAAGCCCCTCCCCATCATATCTGGGCATCTAACGACAGGTGGGGCTTTTTATAAACAGATGCACTGCTGCTTAAATGACTGCCAGCTCTGCAGAAGTCAGGACGCTTCTTCATCATCCTGGAATAAAATCAAAGCGCTTCCTCTCAAGGAGGTACTGAAATGTATGAATGCAAACCACTGTGACGGTGAACCTTCCTTAGCAATCTACAGTAGACACCTCAGGTCATCATGGCGGCATTTGTGTTTTGTTTTGTTGAGACAGGGTTTCTTTGTGTAGTACTGGCTGACCGGGAACTCACTCTGTAGACCAGGCTGGCCTCGAACTCAGAGATCCACCTGCCTCTGCCTCCCAACTGCTAAGATTAAAGGCGTGTGCTACCATCACCTGACACAGAGACATTTCTTAAATCTATGTCTAAATTAAATTTCTCTGCATAGCCACTGAACGCCAAGATGCCCAGCATATTAACCAAGTGGTACGTATACAGATACATATTTTGAGACAGTGGTTGTTCAGGCTGGCTTGAAACTTCTGGACTCAAGTGATCCTTCTGCCTCAGTCTGAAGCAGCTGGGAATGCAGGCATAGGCCACTGTGCCTGGCCAGCAGGTGGTAAGAGCAGGTAATGTGGATTACTGTTACTCACTAGCCCCCATTCCCAGCACTCCATGAGGATGGCCGCAGAAGCTAGAGCCTGGGAGTGGAGGCCGGAGAGCTGCCACGTCTGGCCTGAGGTCACTCAGCTCAGGAAAGTGGCAAGCTATTGGCTACAGCACTGCCCTGGAGCAGATACCTCACTTCATGCTGACACGTGGGCCCTTGCTGCACCCCTGAGCACAAGTGCGGCTCAGATGGCCTGGCAGTAATGTGAGTGCTCCCCCTCCCCTCCCAGTGTGTGCAGTCCTGGGGTGACTGTGGTCTGGCCTGGCTGAGCACGGAGACTTCTGGGTACTCTTTCCCCCTGCACTACATTGTTAACTGACACCTCTCTGATGCTGCGGCCAGCCTCAGCGCCACCCTGTTGCTGGCCACCCTCGAGCAAGGCTCAGTGCTTGGCATGGACTCCACCATTCCACAACACTGGTGTTTTCTGATTTCCCAGAGGACAGATGGCTCCCCTTATCTTCTAACTCTGGGCATCTGTGCAGCTTGGCTTTTAGCAGGTTTTGTTTGTCTCTACATATGAGCTGGCTGTTAACCAGGCACAATCCCACTGCACTTTCTGGTCAGGTTTCTTATTCCACAAAAATCCGATGGGCCATTCATCTCTGCTCACTGGGTTAAAGCCTGTCTGCCAACCCAGCCTGCACCCCCAGCTGTAGTAATGCCACTTCACCAGCTCCTCGGCCACCTTCACAAGGCGGTACTGGCAGGGGTGCCAGGGCTCTCTGCTTTGTTTACCTCTGAGAATCCCAAGTGGGAACAACTTAAAGTGTGGAAGCAGCTGCTCTAGCATCTTCCACTTAAGTGTTTCAACTCAAGTAGATTGACTCTCAGAGCTAAGAAAGGCTGCCAGGCAGGGAACACAGAACTCAGGGTGTACGTCTACAGAATCTGTGGAAGCACACAGGACTTCAGGGGTGCTACCAGAGTCCCCTCTTCAGGAAAGACCCCAGGATAGTTCTAGGGAGCAGTGGTGTGGAGGGGAGGATGCCAAGTCAGAACATTTATGTGTAGGGGCTGCAGGTGTGCTAAATGGAAAAGCACTTGCTTGGCCGGTCAAAGGCCCTGAGTTCTGTCCCTGAAGCTGCAAAAATAGATATACAAGTCAACAAACCGATGAAATATTGAGTCTAGGTTCTGGTTCTTTAAAAGAATGGAATTCTGCCTACTTCCTTGGCTTTGGAGCCCTGAACAAGGGGCTGCAGCCAGGCCTGGGCTTTGTCTTTGAGATGCTGTTCTCATTCTTGGCAGGCTGACATGAGCTTCCTGAGAGTGGTGTGAAGTACTGGTCCTCTGTGGTTCTTGCTGCTCTGCTCTCTGGGGCTATCAATCTTCCATACAGAACTCAAACAACATCATTCAACCGAATATGCTATGACCATGACTCATGAACACGAACAGCTTTTCCTAATCACTGCATATACTCCTGGCAATCCAAAACGGTAAGACTCACGGAGGAAGGGGACTTGTTACAGATGACGTGCTTCCACAGAGAGGGAAGAGGGATTTTTATGACCTGTATCATTCTGGTACAGCTCCAGTCGTTCAGCCACGATTAGCACTCCCTGCTGAACGGATGCTACCCAAAATAGCACAACTGGGGTTTTAATAACCTTATCAATCTCCCATGCGAATGAGCTCATGTCTGGGAGAGGCTGCATCAGACCAGGCCACACTTTTTAATAATGTAAGTGTGCCACAGTCGGGCCACCAAAAGCTCAACACCACCATCTGGCCCATGGTGGCACCTGCTCTCCCCCAGGACTCCGTTAGTGCTCTGTGGAACCTCGCCCAGGAGGCTCACACAGGGATCCCCACTGCCTTGTCAAAGCCAGTGCGCCTGTCTGGAAGGCCTTTGTTCTTTGTGACGGTGACCTTAAGTCACTGTTCGTTACTTTGCTTCTGAAGTATTTGAGGAGAATCTTTAAGAGGGTAAGAGTTGTGTGGGAGATAGGAGAAAAATTCACGGTCTCTGAGAAATGAGGCCAAAAAATATCTGCCAGCTGTGCGTGCATCTACATGTGTGTGCTCATCTGCATATATGCTGACACTTAATGCCTGGAACGTTCTTGGTCCTTAAGCTTATAACCAGTACATAAACGAGAGACCACAGGCCCCTTCTGGAGTGTGTCACGGTGTTTCCCAAAGACAGGTTCTGCAGGTGAGTCTGGACACACATCTGTTCTGACCCTGACGGGCGCTCCTCCCCTAAGCCTCATCACGCACGGGGGCTGAGCAGGCTCTACTTCACAGGAGGATCAACACCTTTGGTGGGTGGCAGTAAGGAGCCTTTCCCTCTTTCCCCACAGGAGGCAACCGTACACTGGACCCAGCACGTGCCCACTACCCCCAGGCCCGCTGTGGGAAGGACTCTGCTTTAGCACTGAGAAGAGAGAGTCACGAGGACACCAGTGGAGCCTGAGTTGGACCAATGGCGGCATGGCTACAGTCTACCTTCATCTTCACGTTTGTTGCTGCAACTCTACAAGAGCTCCCCAGTGAACTGGCTTCCAAATCTTAGGGGAAGAGGGACAAAAGGCACCCAATGGTTGGGGAGGTTTGATCTCGGGCCCAAGAGCCAACATTTATAGAGCCGGGATCTGAGCCCAGATCCATACTCCTGGCTTCACCTTCCATGTTTTTTTCCTTACAAGAAATAACTTAAATATTCGCACCTTCCAGGTCAGCCACCTATCTGTGCCTGCCTCCCGCCTCTACCCACTGGAGAGGTGGTATGGGGGCGTGTCTCTGGGACCACCGTAGCCAGCAGAGTAACAAACTGCGGGAGGCAAGAAGGTAGTTCAGTTTAATACGACGAAGTAGCCTATGTTGGTTCTAGACTCTGACCTGGAGCAGTTTATTGTAGACACATTTAACAATAGCGCAATCTGATGAAAAGTCTCCTGGTGATAATGAAATCAATCCCATGTACACAATAAAGCTTAAGACATGACCACATCAAAGCCCTTTGTAGAGTACATGGGATATCTTCCATCAAGACAGGTTCTGTAGACTGACAAGCTCACGATGGGAGTCTTGGGAAGATCCAGTGTGATCTCAGACACACAGATAGTACAAAGGTCCCCAGGCTGTGAACCATGTCAGCTCCCAGCCTTCCGGGTTACACATCCCCTCCTTTGAAGAAACAACCTTGTGTGTTTAACGTTCCAGGTTCCTCTTGTGCTTATCTGTGACCACAAGGACCTCTGTGCCTCCCACATTTCCCCCATTTTTATTTTTTAAGGAGAAAATTGTGGCTGTAATAGAGGCCAAGGCTGAATGCATTGCCAGCATAGCTAGTCTATTATAGGCAAGCATAGGAGAATGACAAGAATAGCTAACTGAGGACAAAGGAAAGGGGAAGCCGTCTTAACCATGATGGCCATTCAAAGATCACTTGAGAGAGTTTGTTTATCTCTTTTATGCAGAACATTAATTTGACCATTGATAGTATAAAAAATATAATATGTTAAAGCAACACATGCTTTAAATAAATCTTGGCAACTGAGATGATGCTTGAGCAATAGATAACCCACAGTAGCTCTATCTTCTCACGCTGTGGTTCCTCTGTGCCTCCCACTTACCCACACAGGGGCATGCACCGGGCACCTTGGTCATCCCATCGCTGCTTTTTCTGCCATTCCATACCCTACTTCCACAAACAAATGACAGCAAAGCTGACATGGTGAGGAGAAAAAGGATTCAGGCACACCAACACGGAGGTCAGGTGATGAGCGGATCCCCAAAGGCCTGGGCTACCCAGGTTGGGACAGAGTGAGGAGCAAACCCAGGGCTGCCGGGCTGCCGGTCTCCAGTTTCACTGTAAGGGCATCAAAAGCCCATCAGCTAGCTGGGTGTTGTGGCATCATGCATGCAATCCCAGCACTCAGAAGCCAACCTGGCCTACATAATGGGTTTCAGACCAAACAAGGCAACAGACAACCTTGTCCCCCCAATCCCACCCACCTTGGTTTTCCTGATTCAGGCTTTCTCTGAGAAGCCCTGAGCAAATACCGCCGCCCGGCATAAGACCATGTGTTAAGAAACTTTTCTTAAAGAAAAAAGAAGGAAAGGAGGGAGGGAAGGAGGAGGGCAAGCTGGAAGGGAAAATGGAAGGAAGTCTAGCTTCATCTGTTGTAAACAAGAGATAGGTTGACAATAGGGAGGGGATAACTCCAGTCCCTTAAAAAAAAAAAAAAAGTTACCAGGCCAGGCATAGTGGTGCACACCTGTAATCCTAGCACTCTGGAGGCAGAGACAGGTGGATCTCTGTAAATTCAAGGCCAGCCTGGTCTACAAAGCGAGTCCAGGACAGCCAGGGCTCTGTTACACAGAAAATCCCTGTCTTGAAAACAAACAGAAAAACAAAACAAATTACTTTTCTATGTTTCAAAAGCTATCTCATCTGGTTGTAAAAGGTCTTTATTTTTTTTCTCAATTTTACTGAGACCCAATATAAACTTCTTCGTGTTTTGATCACGGAGAGGGAGGAGGAAGAGAAGGGGAAGAAGGGGTGGGAGAGGTGGGGTTAGAAAAGACATCTGTTGACTGGCTGAGCTAGGCGACTCAACGTTTTCTTTGTCCAACACGGCGGCATGCTAAACGACAGTGACTCACACAGTACACCCCCATGGACACAACCACATTTGGATGAGATTCCAAACATTTTCCTTAAGAGACAGCGTAATAAAAAGTCAGAACCATGGCAGCCATGGGCTCTGCATGAGAGCAGCTGCCAGCGGCACGGGTTACCCAGCCTCCCTCACTTCTTCCTCACCCAACAGAACAGATTTGAACGTAAGAAATTAAGAGTGACATTATCACAGGATCAAATTGCACTTGGCACTGACTTCTTTCCTGGGAAACAAATGATGACTGCTAATCATCAGTCACATCTTACAAGTGATCACGATTTCGCCGTGGGTCGTGAGTCCAGACAATCCCCCGGCGCTCAGGGACTGCAGCCTCGTTCACTATCCCAGAATGAGCAGTCCAGTGGCAGACACATGGCAGGAGTCCAAAAGATATCCAAAGTGTAATTACATTATATCTCAATGGCCTCCTGGGAGGGGAGAGGTCCATTCAAAGCCATCCAATAATACTTACTGAACACTGGAGCTGGGATGGCTCAGCTTGGTTTGCCGCACAAGCCTGAGGACTTGAGTTCAGATCCCCAGCACCCACACGACAAGCTGGGTGTAGAGCTGGAAAGACAGCTCCATGGGTAAAAGTGCTTGTTGTTTAAGCCTGACAACCTGAGTTCAAACCCATGTGGAAGGAGAGACGGAGACACACGTGCATGCTCGCATCCTCTCCTTCCCTCATACGTAAGTCACCCCCCAGAGGTGGCTGAGTACTGTGCTCCGTGCTGCAACCCCAGTGCTGGGGAGACAGGGACGGGAGGACTCTGGAGCTTGCTGGCCACCCAATATAGTCAATACGTGAAGAGAGACTCTGTCTTTAAAAAAAAAAAAAAAAAAAGTGCAGAGTGGCTGAGAAAAATACTGGTCATCCGTCTCTGGCCTCCAAACACACGCACAGGCTCTCTTACACGTGAACATGTATATACACACACAATTTTCAAAACATATATATTTACTTAACACTGATCTTTAGCCAGAGACCAGTAGAGAAATTCTACACACAGGTTCTCAAAAATTCACTACCCCCAACAAATTGCCAGACAGGCACTATTCTCCCTGTTACTGATGAGCACATTGGCTGAGCAAAGCAAAGTGACTCTCTGTCCAGCTGAGACATGGAGGGCCAGATCCCACTCCAAGTACACATGAGTTCAAGACCAAGCTTTTGACAACTGACAACTCCACTGTAACCATGCAGGGGGCAGCACCGCTGTCATGGTGTTTCCAGCATAGGTGAAACCTGACCCAGGAGTTACGGTTCAAGGCGGAAAGAAAAGAAAGAGAATGAAGAGAACTGGGAGGGGGTGGGAGGACAGCGAGAGAAGCCCAGAGTTAAGGGCAGCCAGGGGTCAGTCCTGGTGAGTGAGAGTCCTGCCAAGCAGGCATAACAGGAGACTGCACACGGGAGCAATGCAGTGGTTGCAAGAGAAAGTTCAAGGCTTCCTGGGACTGAGAGACAGAAGGGGGGCGGGGGGAGGCTGAGGATGGGTTGTGGAAGTGCAGGAGCCCCTAAAACCTTGGCAAAAAAAGTGCAGATTTTGTGTTTTGAGATAGGCTCTCATATAACACAGGGTGGCCTTGAATACACTGAGCAACTGAGGACAAGCTTGAACTCCTGATACTGCTGCTACCACCTCAGAAGCACTTGGGTTGCAAGCTGGCAGCACCGTGGCCGGTGAGTTGGATTGACAGGGACTGCAGTTAGGAAGCTGCAGCAACAGCCCAAGTGACAGGCATTGGAAGGCCTGCACCAGAACGGCAGCCTAGGGAATGGAAAGGATGTGATATCCCCACGGAGTCAGCACCATGATAACTTGATAACTTCCTCAGTGACCAGGAAGAACAGATGGGCAGGTAGAGAAGCGGGCCAGCTTGATTTTGGCAGGCCAGCTGGAGAAAGGCAAATGGAGACGTCTGATCAGGAGCACAAGATGACAGGACGGCTGGGAGAGGGAAGCTAGGGGGTCTTGCTCTCACGTCACCATATCAACCTCTTCCAGTTTCCTCACCCCATCTGCACCCCGAGAATCCCTAACTGGAGAGTACAGGGGAAAGAGCAAGGCCAGAGGGCAGGTCTGAGACCTATCTGCAGATGGTGGACAGTAAGCGACACCAGCTCCACAGGAAATCTCTGGGTTCCTCCTAGGAGGGAAAGTGTGAGGGAGGAAGAGACAAAGAAAGGAAATTAGGGGGCTGGGGAAAATGGGTCAGTTTATAAAGTGCTTGCTCCACAAGCATTAAGATCCGAGTGTAGCAGCCACGACTGTGACCCCAGCAGTGGAGAGGCAGCTGGAAGGATCCTTGGCCATCTAGGCTGATGGTGAGCGCCTAGCATCAATGAGAGACCCCACCTCATAAAATAAGGTGGAGAGTGATTGTGTGAAGACACCAAATGACTTCTGGCCTCCACATGGACCTGCACACACAAGAACACATACACACACAGGAAAAAAAAACAGCAAGTTACCAAGCCCTAAATCTGCACTGGACTGGGTGGGCCCTTTGTACTTCAATTGCCAAAGGAGAATATTGGCTTTATAGATGCACTGACTGATGTCCAGTGAGATCTCAGGTAATTTGCCAGGATTCTTACAACTGAGAAAATCCAACTTAGGTTTGACAAGTTCTGCGCATTACATAAAAGGAGGGAAGAACACATCCTCCCAGGAGCTGACAGTGGAGTCCAAGAACAGCATCCTAGGACGTCAGAGTCCAAAAGGCCTTTGCGACCGTTCAACCCAATTTCGTCTTTATAGATGGGGAGACTGAGTCCTCCCCAACGGAGGAGAATCCCAGGACGTCGCCAAATCTGCAAATCAAGCGGTCTGGGACGAGGCGATTGAGCTCACCAGCCAGCAGCAGCGAGGCGGCGAGGGGACAAAGTGCTGCGCGAGTCAGAAGAGGGCGAATGCGAGGGCACGGAGCTAAACGGGACCCAGGGTGGGTGAGGAGGAGCAGCCTGCAGAGTAGTGGTGGTGGTAGTGGGGCGCAATGTCATTGCCGAGCTCCACCGTCCCCTACGTGGGGCGGGGAGGGGGGTCCTGGCCGGGAACCGTGGTCTGGGGACCTAGGTGGGGCCTCGTCCTGGGACAGGCCTTGTCCGCCCCGCGCGTCCTACCGCCCTCCCTTAGGGCCGGCCCGCCCCACCGCGCTGCCCGCCGCACTCGGCGGCCTCACCTGCTCCCGCGGGGGCCGGAGCCGAGGCCGCTGCCAGCGCACCCCCGCCAGGGTTGTCAAGGAGCGGGTAAGAGTGTCTTAGCAACCAGTACGGAAGTCCCGCCCCCGCGCCGGACGTTGACAGCAGTTTCACTTATTATTGGTCTAGAAAGGTGCCAATTGGTTCCGAAGGGCCTAGGAGGTCGGCGCTTACGCGAGGGGCGTGGCTTAGAGACTGGGGAGGCGGGGCTTCGCTCATAGTCGTCTTAAATATGCCGGAGCAGCCGGCCAGAGGCTGAAGTTGTCTTTGGAGAGAGACAAACTTCGTGAAGGTGTATTGCCCTGGGAGTTTTCTTCACTGAAAAATGACAGATGCAGTTTGTTGGTGTCGTGACGCTGATCTGCTATTTTACAAGGCCCTCAAGAGCCTGATAACCAGAGTTTATGTAGTGTTTTAGTGCTTTACAGTGACAGTCTCATTGATTCTCAGCATAGTACTTTCAGGTAACAGCGTCGGTAATCCCGTCTGAACCGATGTGAAGAATTTGAGAGACTGAAAGAGAGAATCAAGGAATAATCCGGGAGAAGGAACTCAATTCTTCTTGCCCTTGCATGCACCAGAGTCGCCTTGCCCTAGGAGCTGGGAGACCCCTGTACCATTAGAGGCAGTTCTCTGGAACCTGCTTCTGATTCTTCTCGGGAGGAAATGACCAAAGAGTGTTAGTGCGGCTTGGTGAGGGGAAGGTGAAGAGTGGATCAAAGGGTTAGTGGGATACCCCATAATTTAAACAATTACTCTATGCTCAACGTGTGATCATTAGAGAAGCCACACTAGCCGGTTTTCTGGCATCTACAGGTGGCTCAGCCTTGGCCACTCTGGTGATTCCGGGGAAGGTACCTATAGTCCAGCAGGAAGAGAGCCACCAGAAGACATGGATCATTTATTCCTCACGTTTCTATAGCAGAGGTTGGCAGGGTACTGGCTCTTCTAAGTGTGGTACCTAAATGGGCAGAACCCAAGATGACCAGAAGGCCAATGAGAGTGGGATACAAGTTGCCTGGGGAACGGCAGTGGCTCCAGGAGGCCTGGATGCAGGGCCAATGCAGTGTAGGTCGGAGTGAAGACACAGAAGGAAGTAGGGTACTAGATGGAGGGGTTTAAAACATAAATGGCCCCTGCTGTGAGGTGAGAATGGAGAACTTGCTGGAGAGCTTCAGGGAGGCCAGTAACAAGGTCTGATCTGGGACACTGGATTAACACTAACCTGAGTGTTACTAATCTGAGTAGACTGAGAGCACACACACCCGGTTTGGTTGGAGGCTTGGCAGCATGAACTCAGCTAGGCACGTGCCAGCTCCCAGCTTGTCTCCCTGGAAAGTTCTGAGGGTCTGTGGCAATTCTTATTCAGCCTCCAAATTTCCTTAATCACCTTTCCCACTTTCTCCAGGAGACGGAGGACAGCATTTGAGGGGGATGATGCTCTTAGCTTTTGTCTCTCATAACAACGTCTCCTAAAAGGGGTCCGTGTTTGCCATCTTCCCTTTCTCGCCTCCCATTCATTCTTCCGCCCGCTGCAATCTGGCTTCCACTCCCACAATGCCACTGAAATTCCCTCTCTCACAGTTACTAGCGACCTTGTGGGAAGTAGAAATTGATAGACCTTCTTAGTCTTTATTTCACAGGGACCCATTTCTTCTTGTGGTTGGCAGCACCAACCACAAGAATCTTGATGCAGTTCTCCATCACAGAGGTGGTACCTATAGACCTCTTGGCAATGCAGATTCCAGGGTCTTCTGCAGTGGAACGGGGAGAGAGAGGAGTGTGGGTTTTAATTGGCTGCCTTGTGCCCGCTAACAGTGAGAGCCACTAGGTAATAGGGTCCCTCACTCCACCCCCAGATCTCGAATTCATTTTTGGCTCCCGTCTTGGGCTCTTGCTTTGCTCCTTAACCTGAATGTGTTTTTTTTTTGTTTTGTTTTGTTTTGTTTTTTCCTGACAGATCGCTATGGTTTGGATGCGAAATGTCACCCACGGACTTGTGTTTCGCACACTTGATCTCCAGCTGGTCGCACTGTTTGGGCAGGTTGTAGAATCTTTGGGACATCAGACCGACCTGACAGGCAGCTGGGGAGCAGGCCTTCCTTGTGGGTTACAGCCCTGCCCGGTCCTACCCTACTTCTAGTCTTCCTCTCTGCACCAAAATTTAAAGGAGCCATGTCCTGGTCGCCATGCTTTCCACTTTTTATCCCTATTGTAATGGACTATACTTCTGGATAAAAACCAGAAGAAACGCTTTCTCCATATGTATATATATGACAGGTTTTCTCTGTGTTTACCCTAGCTGCTGTCCTGGAACTCACTCTGCAGACCAGGCTAGTCTCGAACTCAAGAGACCCACCTCCCTCTACCTCCTGAGTGCTGGGATTAAAGGTGTACACCACAATACCTGGCTACATCTCCGTGCCTATATTGCTCCTGCCAGGCATTTTGGCACACTGACAAGAGCAATAGCACTTCAGTGCTCTCCATTTGCTTGCTTCCTCGTCAAGTCGAGTTTCCCGTACTTGCTGGAGTTGTAGGTGGGATGTGTGCCCCGGAAACATCCCGTTCACCCAGGGAGCAATGCTCTCGATGTGAGCCTTGTTAAGAAGTGCTGTTTTAGGACTGTCCCTTGGGGCTCTTCTGCCCACAGTTCCCTTTATCCTTTTCCTTTTAGATCAGCCTGTGGGTAGTGGTCCCTTTGGGGGTTGAAGGACCCTTTTACAGGTTCACCCAAGTCTATCGGAAAGCACATTACAATTCATAACAGTGATAGGGGAGGTCCTCCTCCCCTCCCATCTGACCCTAGCTTATCAGGTCTCTTCAGGACTGGCTACAATGTCCTCCTCTGTGGCCTAGCAAGGCTGCTCCTCCCTGGGAGGTGGGGGGAGGTCAAAGAACCAGCCATTGAGTTCATGTCAGATCAGTGGACTTGGAAAGGGGCAGGGAGGAGATGAGGGAGGGAAGGTGGAATTGGGAGGGAATGAGAGAGGGGGCTATGGCTGGGATACAGAGTGAATAACCTGTGATTAATATAAAAAATAAAAATTATAAAAAAGCAATTCATAACAGTAGCAAAATTACAGTTATGATGCAGCAACAAAAATAATTTTATGGTTGGGTATCATAATAACATGAGGAGCTTTATTAAAGGGCCGAAGCTTTAGGAAGGCTGGCCTTCTGATTGCTCTTATATTTTACTTTCCAGACTCAGCCTCTCTCAAGCACTTGGCCCAGATGTCCAACAGAATCCTAGCTGTTTCTACCAGAATGGCCCACAAACTTTTTAAAGTAGCACGTCCCAAGTTGGATGGATCCTCCAGCTTGTTCTCCTCATCTTCCTCATCTGGGCAAATGGCTGCACTGGCCTCTGTCAGACACCGAGGTGTCACCTTTAAGCTTTCCCAGCCCTAGCCTACCTCCAGCCAGCGACTGGTCTGCTAGTCTTGAGTCCTGTCTCCTCACACACGCCTGTCCCAGCACAGCAATGCAGCTGTAACAGCTGTAGCAGCTGTAGCAGCTGTAGCAGCTACTTCCTTCCCAGGCTGCCACCTGTTCCCTGCTCTTCCCTAACCCCCCATTCCAGTCAGTGTGGTCCTTCCCAAACACAAGTCACATCCCTGCTTATCAGCTCCTTCCTCACCCCGCAGTGACCCAGTGTCCCAAATTGGCAGTCAAGGCTCACCTTCACCTTCCTCCTGTTTCTTTTCCTTTTTCCCAATCAGCTGAATAATAATAATAGTAATAATAAAACATAGACATGAACTGGGGACTTGGCTCAGTGATTAAGAGTACTTGCTGCTCTTCCAAAGGACCCAAATTCAGTTCCCAGTGGCCACTTGGTGGTTCACAACTGCCTGCAACTTCAACTCCAGGAAATACAGTGCATTCATGTTTCCCTCCACATCTCTCCACACCCCCAAGGACACATAAATTAAAAAAAAAAAATGAAAAGAACAGAGTAATGCCATATGCCCTTTACCAGTGTCCCCAACAACAACATCCTGCAAGAAGAAAGGGCAGGTCACCAGCACGAAGGCAGTTTCCCTTATTTTGTTCTTGTGCATATGTGTGCACAGATGTGTGAATTCGTGTGCACTGGCTGGTTTTGTCAACTTGACACAAGACGTAGTCACCAGAGAGGAAGGAGCCGCAGCTGAGGAAATGCCTCCACGAGATCCAGCTGTAAGTCATTTTTCTCAATTAGTCATCAATATGGAAGAGCCCAAGCCATGGTGTGTGGTGCCATCCCTGGGCTGGTGGTCCTGGGTTCTATAAGAAAGGAGGCTGAGCAAGCCATGTGCTTTGGAAGTGTAAGCCGAATAAACCCTCGCCCCTCCTCACACTTGCTTTTTGGTCATGGTGTTTTGTTGCAGCAACAGAAACCCTAACTAAGGCATTTGTGCATATATATTTGCATGTGTGATTATACATATAGATGTGCAATATATATATTTCTGTGTGTGATTATGTACTTTTGTAAGCACGTATGTGAATGTGTGGATGTGTGCGTGTGTGAGTGTTGTGTGTATGTGTTTATTTGTGTGTATTTTTTGTGTATGTGTGTTTAGTTTAATGCAGTTTTATGGAATTTGTATATCGATTAGACTTTAGATTCCCCTCCTCCCTCTGGGTCATCCTCTTTGAAGGCATATCTGACCGCTGTCTTTGGAATGCAGAACAATATATATATATATATAACAAAAATCAGGCGTGAGGGTTGGGTGTGGTTTCACTCCTCCAGGAAGGGCTGACTCTTGCATCTAGCAAGCCATTGTCGAAGGGGCTGGCATTTCACTTTAACAAGTGAGAGGACTGAGAGCAGGTCTTCCTTTGTGGGAGAACTGGACTATTTCCCACGCACTGGTTTTCAAGAGTGTAGCTTGTTGGAGCGGGAGGGGGCGGTCCTGAAAGCCTTCCCAGAGCGCCTCATCCTGACCTCCTGCTTCTAACAGGAAGCTCTCACCTATTTGTCCTCTAGTTTCTTGTGCAAATGAACCTGCTGCTCACCTAGGGCACCTCTCCTAAGCAGCTGCAGCCCCGTTGCCAGGCTCACCCCTCTGAGATACTCTTCTCCCTGGGACCTTTGTCTCTCAACTCTAGGCTGGTGCCTTACCGGGTGGTACAAGTGTTTGATGTCTCTGGGTTTTCTCAGCGAGAGGGTCTAGTCTGCAAAAGAAGCCCCCACCTCAGCCTTTGTTTCTTTGGTATGTGTTCTGATGTCCTTGAAGGGACAAAGGGAGCCTTAAAGTCACCACACACACACACACACACACACACACACACACACACACACACTGTCTCATGCAGTGTTCGTATGTGTAGAAGCTGAATGCCTCCCAATGGCCCACTTGTTTAAGGTGTGGTTCCCAGCTTGATATAATTGGAAGGACTTGGAACTTTTGGTTGATGGGGTCTTGGTAGGAGGCCTTTAGGTCATCGGTGACATGCCTTTAAAGGGAACTGTGGGACCTGTCCTCCTCCTCCTCCTTCCTGATCTTGAGGTGAGTGGTTTTATTCATCACACACTCCTGCTGTTATACGTTGCCCTGGGTCGTCATATGTCAAAAACACTGCCCTTTTCCATAAAGGAGTGTTGGGTGGTCATGAAGGAGGGAGGAGAAACTGCGGTTGAGATGCAAATAAATAAATAAATAAATAAATAAATAAATAAATAAGCAAGCAAACAAACAAACAAACAAAAGAAACAAACAGCTGAGCCAACGAACAGCGAAGTCAGGCCACAGACCAGAACTTCCATGAGACAAAAGACACCCATTCTCTGTGTGAATGGATCATTCCAGGTGGCCAGTTAAAGCGGCAGAAGCAGGCTAACGCAGCTGTGTTTCCTCTGGAACGTGGCTCCATAAACATTCTGGTGGTGTCATTTCCCAGCATTGTGATCCTGGCAAAGTCTCTTTTCGGGGGTCCCAGGTCTCTTCTGTTACTCCCCTTGCTGGGCTGAATAAGCTAATATATGCCAAAGGATGAGAGCAGGGAGTGCCTGGCACATAGGAAGCACTCGGTGGGTATCAGTCACTAGTATCAAGTGTGTGTGTGTGTGTGTGTGTGTGTGTGGTGTGGTGTGTATATAGTGGTGAAAAGGGTACACTTGGCTCCTCTGCCATGGAGGGGATGTCCATTCTGTAGGCACTCTGTTTTTGTTTTGTTTTGTTTCTGTTTTTTTGAGACAGAGTTTCTCTGTGCAGCCTTGGCTGTCCTGGACTCACTTTGTAGATCAGGCTGGCCTTGAACTCACAGAGCTCTGCCTGCCTCTGCCTCCCGAGTGCTGGGATTAAAGGCGTGTGCCACCATTCCCGGCTCTGTAGGCACTCTGGGTGGCCCACAATAAAAGTAAACAAGGTGTTTACAAAGAGAGGTGAATGCTGCGGCCCCACCAGAAGAGAGGACATCTCCCCCGCCCCTCCAGCGGGTGCATATTTTGGTCCAGGCTGAGTGGAAAGGGCTCAGTCCCCAGATCTGGGGTACATGAAAAAGGTAGGGCAAATGACAGAATGACCAGGCAGCCAACTAGTCCAGGTGGCCAGTGTGATGGTTTGAATAGGAATGGCTCCCATAGACTGGTGTGTTTGACTGCTTGGCCCATAGGGAGTGGCCTTGTTGGCAGAAGTGCATCACTGTGGTGGCAGGCTTTGAGGTCTTATAAGCTCAAGTCTAGCCAGTGTGGCATGGTCTCCTGCTGCTGCCCATGGATCCAGATGTAGAACGCTCAGCTCCTTCTCTAGCACCGAGCCTGCCATGTCTCTAGCAACATGCCGCCATGTTTCCCGCCATGATGATGACGAACTAACCCTCCGAAACTGTAAACTAGACCCAATTAAAAGGTTTCTTTTATAAGAGATGCCATGGTCACGGTGCCTCTCTTCACAGCGACAAAACCCTGACTCAGGCGGTCAGCAACATTTCTGTGAGTGCTGTGTTTAAAAAAAAAAAAAAAAAAAAAAAAAAGCAAGCACAAGCTAGTCTGCTGGGAACAAGGAGAAGGAGAAGTCCAGGTGCCCGTTGCCTCTGTCTGGCACACGTCGGGGAACAGCAGGACGGCCAGCGTGTCCAGAGTTTGGTAAACAGAGGGGAAGAGTGGCTGAGTGAGGGCTGAGAAGTGGCCGGGCTGGGATGACAGGAGAGACCTGGATCACACACCAAATATACTGGGGGACCTGGGGTGATGGCACGTGCCTTTCACCACAGCAAGTTCCAGCCAGAATTAAACAGTGAAACCAAGTCCAAAAAAGAAACACATTCTGGGTTCAGCGTGGCTCATGCCTTTAATCCTGGAAGGCAGAGGCAGGCGGATCTCTGAGTTTGGGGCTAGCCTGTTCTACATAGTGAGTTCCAGGACAGCCAGGGCTATGTACAAGGTAGAGAGATCCTGTCTAAAACAAACCAAAACAACAACCCTCCCTACACAGAGAGAGTGGTCCAGCCTGTGCTGGAGATGGAGCTGAGACAAACACCTCTAAACCCTCTAAACCCTCCATATCTCCAGCTCTGCTTCTGCCCCTTTCCTGCAGCATGGCAGGTGTTCTCTCTGATGGGTGGGGAAATGGGAGCTCAGAGGTTAAGTTCCTGGTCCCCGGCTTCTCAGAAGAGGCCTGCCCCAGCCTGGCAGCACTGCCTGAGGGTCAGCTGAGCTGGCCGAACCAGTCCTGTTGAGCAGGATGCAGATGGTGAGAACCAGTGCCCACCCAACACCGGCTGTGTACCTGGGTCCCACAGATGAGGAGAGCAGAACTGAGGCCAGCTCCCATCTCCTCCAGAGCCCGCAGACCCGCTACCATCCTTGGTTTATGCTGGGGGTGGGGAACCTTTCTAAGTGCCAGGCAGGCAGTCTATGGAAGTGAGCTACCAGCCTGACACCCCTGCTTCCCCAGGGAGTCTTGAAACAAAGGGAACAAAGACAAGAGGGATGGTCAAGAGAGGGTCTCAACTCAAGGCTATGGGTGGTCGCTATCGGGTCATGATGCGAGAGGTGATTGGCCCAGAGGGCACTGACTCCACCATTTACTACACTTCGGAGCAGCATGGGCTAGTAGGAGGTGGGGCCTGTCTGGAGAAATTGGTCACTGAGACATGCTTTTTTTTTTTTTTTTTTTTTTGAATGATGTATCAGCCCCGCCTCCCCACCCTCTTCCTGGCCACCAATGGACAGCAGCTTTGTTCCCTCACACCCTTCTACCATGATGCTCTGCTTCAACTACCACCCGGAAATGAGCCCGCTGACTGTGGATTTGAAACCTCAGCAACTATAAGCCCAAACAAGGCCCGTTTAAGGGAGGAGACACTTGGACACAGGCTCACGGGAGCCACAGTGCAGACAAGGAGGAGTTGGGGATTGAGGGGACGGGTTCTTGAAAGGGAAGGATGCCCTCCAGTATGCAGGGCTGGGGCAGAGGGTTGTGGACTGAGGACTGGGAAGATGTGATGTCGCTATTTGGGAGAGCAAGACGGATGGCTGTTCCCTTGCCCTTTCTGCCTGTGGGCGTTAATGCTGATGGGGCTCCAGGCCTGCCTGCTGTGTGCACCTGCGCAGGTGTGGAGCAGGTGGAAGGACATTTCCCTGGGTGGTGGGACAGTGCCAGCTCGGTGGGACAAAGGGGGAGAGGGCCTTTGCAGGAAGAGTGGGATGAAGTGTTGGCCAGCAGCTCGGTGTTGCGGGTGTCTCTGCCTGCAGATCCCCGGGATTGTATTTTAAAACAAACCTGGAAGGCACCAGCGCCCAGAGGTTGCAGCGGATTCCACTGTGCTTCTCCTGTATGCTGTCTCCTCCAGGGCTAAATCCACTCCTGGGAGTTTAGGAAGCTCTGTCCTGCTGGTATGCACAACCCCAAACCCTGCCCTGCTACCCTGACTTTCCAAAGGTCACCACTTGAGATGAAGTCCAGCAGGGAACAGCGACAGTGCTGGTAAGTGCCCTTTGAAACGCTGTGGACTCTAGTTCTTGCCTGAGAGGTCGGAGGCACCTGAGGAGCCTGGACAAAACTTGGGGAGAGAAGGGAAGAGGAAAGCGGGAAGCAGAGAGGCTGTTACCATAGTCTTTCCCTTCCTGGACGACCTCCTAAGGCCCCCACCACAGGAGATGCAGCTCTCTGGGGGTCTGGGCGTGTGACTCAGGAAGACTGGGTCCTAAGCAACGGGCAGGGATCCTGGAACTGGGGCACAGGTGGGGAAGGGGTGTTGGGAATGAGGCCAAAGCCGAGTTAGAACTGGGGCGCTTTCCACGTGGGACTTGCTTCTCTGCAGCCTTTCTCGGAAATCCTTGGAAATTCTATGTCTGAGCCTAGCTCGGTGGAACTGGTCTGGCCAGGTAGGGGGCTATATATATGGTTGGGTGAGGCTTTGGGGGAGGCTAGGGGCAGATGTTGCTCTGTGGAGGTGGGGCAAGTGGCTCCCACCCCCAACCTCCCACATTAAAGAAGAGCCTCCTCCGAGTAAACCACGTGTTTATTTTGAACATTCAAGTTTACAAAAACAAAAATGGTAACAAAAAACCCATGACACAGATCACACACACACTCACACATATACAAAGCATCTCATGTCACTTATATACAAAATAGAGCAAAGTGCGGAGGGAGGGCAGTGGAGGGCACTCATTTCACAGTGTCCCACAACTTCACATGCTCACTGCTGGCTGCTCAGCCTGCGAAGGCGCCCCGTTCTCCACCCAACAGGGACGGGGGGTAGGGTTGGGGGTAGGATCTTGGTGGCAGGCAGCTGGAGCTAAGGGGTGAGGACAGTAGTCCCTCATCTGGGAGGAGACCTTTCTTCGGGTTTTCTTAGGCCAAAGGTGCTGGGACTTGTAGGTGAGACCCAGTTTTGGGGGGAAGGGAGGGGTCACTGTGTGTTCTGGAGAAGCCTCAAGGGTCATTTGCACTCCCCAGCCAGGCCTCAGCTTCCTCATCTACAAGGATTGAGTTCCCTCGCACAGATTCTCCTGCCTCAGTCTGTGGTCCCCATTCACGAGTATACATGGTGAGATGGTCCCTTGGGACTTGGGAGAAGTCACTACATGTTCAAAGGTGGGGAATCTGGCAGCAAACAGCTTAGTGCACCTGACATAGGCCTTGCCCAGAACAGGGGGAGGAAGCATCACTTCCGCCCTGCCTTCCTGACCAGACTCCAGAGATCCTCTTTTCTTGCCCTGAAAACTACAGCTCAGCTTGAGCTTGGGCGGAGGTGAGAGACCCCTCAATGGCCTTGAGCCCCACACTACGCCTCTGCTCCTTCTGCACCGTGAAGGAGGTGGCACAGTCCTTTGTAACTGTAACCTGTCTCCAAATAGAAATCCGCACTGTTGCCAGTTGGCCAAATGATGCTTTACCTTTCTGAGGCGCATCCTCGCCTCCTGCATCACAAGGCTAAGAACAGTCCCACTTTGTAACTGTGCTTCGAGAATAAAGCAGATGGTGCGGATACAGCGCTCTGTGCAGCCGCAGTGTGTAAGGCTGTCTAACAAGCCTCGTTCTATCTTCATCAGGGGCAGCTGGGGGTCACAGCTATCTTGTTGGCTGTGCTTGGGAGCTGCAGGTAGGGGCTTTGGAAATAGAGAGCCAGCCCCTTCCCCAGTGAGCCATACTCAGAGCCCTGCCCCAGGCTTCCATTTCCCCCCTCCCCCGCCTCCTGGGCTATGGGGTTGGTGTTTAACCAGGGCCTTTCTGGCTGTGGATGTTTGAGTGTTAATGCTTAGGAAGCCCCAGGCTTATCTGCTGTCTTCACCTGTGCAGGTGTGGAGCAGGTAGAAGGGGGTTTTCCTGGGTACTGGGACACTGCCAGCTCAGTGGGACAAAGTGACCAGACAGAGATGTGGCTGAGGTGTCATTTCTCATCACCACCTTGACAGAGCAGAGAGGATTGGGGTGGTATGTCTGGTGGGCTCAAATGACCAGGCAGTTTCTGCTACATCCTTCCTAAGACTGTCTTCCCAAGGCCTCCTCTAAAGCTGCCTCTTTTAGAACAACAGCAAGAGCCTGGTGAGGCTCAGAGTCCCCGAGGTCTAAGTTCCGAATCCAGCTGTCACCCAGCAACAACCTTCGTCAAGACAGATACTTGACCCAGCACTGGGGCTGTTGTCATTGGCTGTTACTGGGCAACCGGGATCTCAGCAAGTCTGGGTAAAGTCTCTGCAACTATCTTCAGGGGATGGGGATGGAGGTGCTGAGCCGCATGGCTGCTCTCAAAATGGAAACACAGATCTGCAGGCCAGAGGCAAGTCTTGGACATGCTTCCCTCCCTGGCACGGGCTGCAGCCTCCCCCACTCCTGCGTCATGTCTCGGGCTGAGTGGCCATGGAGAGCACAGACAGGGACAAGAATGGGGGGTGGGGCAGGAGGCACCAGTACCCACTGGTTCAGCCAGCATCCACTACCACACTTGGGAGAGGATCAGCAGGACCCTGCATCCTCAGCTGTCTCTCTGTCCGGGCTCTTTTCCTTACCTCCCGAGGCTGCCGATGTGTTTGGGTGTGCCATAAAGACTGTTCCGATGCCCTGTGAGAAAGCATGTATCCCCTCAAACGTCTCCCTGCGCACTTACAGGCTGGGCTCAAAGACGCTCAAGGACAGACACCATGGCACACAGGGGAGGGCACTGAAAAGACTCAGAAGCCCTGGGCCCACCGTGTTGTGCTGTTTGATCCTGGATAAGTTAAATGCCCTCTCTTAGCTCATTCCCATCTTCCACAAGCAAAGCTTACAATAGATGGTCTCTCTCAGCTCTGGCATTCTTTGGGGCTCCTGGGGGAGCTGGCAAGGACTCACAGGCAGGGACGAGGAAGCCATCAGCTCATACACTCTCAGAAGGGCAAGGGCAATGGATCCAACGGGAGCTGATGATTATGTGTGTCTGTTCTGCCTTGAACCTCATCCTTGATCCTGACCCTCTGAGCCAGCTGTGAGCCTAACCCCTGCCTAGCCTGATCCCATCTGCTATCCAGTTCCAGAACCTTCTGGGCTAAGTCACTGGGCCTTCAGGTTGTCTTCTCTGTCCACCAGATGTCACGGCCCATCTCGTGTCCCAAAAGCAGCATTCTCAGAAGTAACCAACACTACGGCCTCAGCTCAGAAAGGAGGAAAGCCAGGCCAGAGAGGGTTGGTTCTTACAGAAGGCCACACAGCAAGTTGCAGGAACTAAGAGGTCCTCTCCCTTACTCGGTGTCCCACTCTCCCCCTTAGCATCTTTCATCCTTTCCAGGGCCATGCAGGAGCTGTTCCGGTGGCTAACCCACCAGGCTTTGCTGGGGCAGTGTCTCCTTGGTCATAGTAGCTCTGCTTTGGATGCTCTCAGGCGAGGCTAGAGCGACCCAGGTCCTGTCTTGGGCACAGAGGGGGCAGACAACCATGCTGATGGGCAAAGTTGCCAATGGGCACAGGGGGTGATTACAGCCCTTTGGCCTCCGAGGTCTTGGTCCCTAGCTGTTAGGGTAAGAGCTGGGAAGGGAACTCCTGGCAGCTGAGGTGGAGCCTGAACTGACATTGAACCGACATTCAAACCACAACACACAATGAAACTGTTGAGGGGAGGGAGGGGGAAAGAGGGCATGATGACCCTGCAGCCCCTGTGGGCAACTGAGGAAGACAGAGGACCTCATACATCTCTGGCATCCCTTCAAGCCTGATGTAGGCCTATGTTGAAGCATAGGGGATGAGAGGGTCAAAGGCCGCCTCTACCCACAACTCCTCAGGGGATGTTGTTGGGATTAGTGAGACCCGACATGACTGGTGGGACAGCATGTGAGGGGAGAGGCCAAATCAATATATTGCCATGAGGTGGGACTGTCTCTCCTCCCCTAGGTTGGACCAATTGACTTGAGATACTGGTCCCTATCCAGGTGGCTGGGGGGACATCCATCCAGGGCAGGACATTCTGGAGGTGTGGGTGCCCCTAAGGGGAGGTGGGGGGTACAGCTGGGGGTCAGGGGGTTGGAGGGGGAGGCCAGCACATGGACAGGCTGAGGAGGGAAGTGCCCCTTCAAGGTCCCCGAGGTGACACGCAAGGGAGGGGCCCTGGACGAGGTGGCCCCTCATGCCTTAGCCCTCCCCTTGCAGACATCAAAGGCGGCCTTCTTTGCACCTCCAAAGGCCTCCACCAGCTTATCTTCCCAGGGGAGGACATTGCCCATCAGTGGCCCAGTGCAGTTGGCCATGCCCAGCACCTGGCCAGGTGTCAGGGTATGGTCCCACAGGTTGAACTGTGCAATGTCACCAACGAAGGCCTGGGTGGCGTCAAATCGGCCCCCCAGGGTATCCTGAGCAGAGAGAGCGACAAAGAAAGGAGAGAGAGATGGACTGAGGGGACAAGGGCAGAGACAATCGAACCAGGCACTGTCTCTTTCAAAGCCTGGTACCCAAGGCTCCAGCCCCACCCAAGGCACTAGCCTCACCTTCAAGGTTCATGTCCTACTCTAGCAAGGCCTCATCCCATGTTCCGGCCCCACCCACCACTTTAGCTCTCAGCTGCCCATCTGCAAACTGGCGGCTCAGACAGGATGCTCACTGCTATTTCCCTTGTCAGGGACCCCGTAGCGGGTGCAGTAATGACCTGATGTGCTCTCCCTGAGCCTTACCTGTTCTTGGCCCAGGATAAGGATGCCATGTGGCTTGACGGGGTGCCAGGCTGCCAGGTTCTCCCCAGAGCCCCGCAGTTCTCCGTCCTGGTATGCAGACCACAGTCCATCCCTCGTAGTCCAGGCGATGCAGATATGGTGCCAATTGCTGTCCTTCAGGCTCAGGGGAAGCTGGGCCACCTGGACACAGGACCCAAAGCCGTGTGAGAGGCCCAAGGCTGGAGGAGTGGGGTAGCTTAACTAGGCAGCCAGCCTTATGGCTTTCTTTCCTCCATGGATGGAATCCAAGGCCTGACTTGAATGCCAACCATTGTCTCCCTCATCCCAAAGGACCCCCACCAAGCAGCTCCCCTCAGGTCACTAGGGCTGTCTTTTCTGTTTTCAGGGCTTGATAGGGAGAGTGTCCACAAACCCATTTCCCTTGCACACCTAAAACAGTATCCAGCACATAGTGGGGCTCATTCACTAGTGTGGACAGAATGAGCCTTGGACTCAGAGTTTGGGTGGGTCCCAGAGTCTGCCATCAGCCTGCTATCTGACTTTGGGGAGGGAGTTCTTTCCTTTCAGGGCCTCCTCTGTAAAGTAGGAGAGAGAATACACAGTCGCTGCCTCTTCCTGGACCCAAGGGGCAGACATGGCTAATCAATCATGAGCCTAAACTGGAGCTGGAACCCTGCTCGTAGTGCTCTGGAGGGCGCTGGTGATGGCTGGGCACTGGTCTGTGAGGTGAAGCTGCTTGTCTGTGGCTTTAAAAGGCTCCTTTATCTGACAAATGCTCTGAGATCACAACTTCATGCGGTCTTCTCTGATGCCTACCGGGTGTCAGGCTCCATTCCAAACCCATTACCATGTGGATCTGGGCATGGCCTTGAACAAGTTATGCCCGCTTGGGGGAGCAAGGCTTTAGGGACAACATTGTCTGTGCCTGTTTATCTCCACCGTCAGCCTGACTGGATTTGGAGTCACACAGGAGACATGCGTTACCACTCCTGAGGGGGTCTCTAGAGAGATCCAGCTGAGGAAAGGCCTACCCCAAATGTGGCTGATGGGCTGGAGCTCCAGACAGACTCAAAACAAGACATCAGCCGAGAGCCCACATTCGCCTCACTCTGCCTCCTGACTGTGGTTGCAATGTGCCCAGCCTCCTCACACTCCGGCCCTGACAGCTGCAGCTGCCTTTGCTGCCCCGCCTTTCCAAGATGTGCACCAGGACAAACACTTCCTTACCCTGCTTTGGTCAAGTATTTTGTCAGAGCTCTGAGACAGCCATCAGAAAAAAAAAAAAAAAAAGTCTGGGAGCTGCAGGGGAGACCCAGGGGGAGGGGAATGTGGCGACAAAAGCCAGCCTGGAAGAACGTAGAAACCGCTGTGGGTGGCAAACCTGGTGCTTCCAGTAGAGCGAAGGCGCACAGGCAGGAAAAAGGCTGGCGGAGCGGCGCCCTGTCCAGGGTGCTGAAATCTCCAACTAGCGAGCCTAGTGCTACCCTCTGCCAGACAGGGATGAGGGGGGCAGGACAGCCCTCTCCACACGGAGCACGGTCACCACGGTGACCTTGGGAACCTCAGGGCAACACATTGACCCCCTGGGCCACTGTCTCCTGGACACTCAGCGGGGGCCCCAGCTGCATAGCTTGTGGGCTGGTCCCGGATGAATGTGACCCGTGGTATTTGCATTTCCAGGGGATCTCAAAAAACCTCCGCATCCCCTAGGCTGAAAAAAAAAAAATGGCAGGCAGGAGGCAGCTTTGGGAAGCCTACATTAATCTTGGACAGACAGCGGGCGACTTAGGGGCAGAACAGTAAAAGTAAAAAAGAAAATTCTGGAGCCCGTGACAGATGGGGAAACAGAGGCACAGGCTGGTAAATGAGATCACCCAGTGGACACCTTAAACAGCCACGACTCAAGCACTACCCTCAGAATGGAGTCTGATACACAGGGCTCGGAGTACCTATGCCTGAAGACTGGCCTCTAGCTGGACGACCTGGTACTGACACCTTTCTCTGTTCCCCTTTCTTTAGCCAGCCCTGCGTCTGGCTTGTCTGTATTCCCAGAACCAAACGTGGCACACAGTAGGTGTTTAATGTGTGCTGAGTACGGCGAACGGGAGGGTGAAAGTGTCAGTCCACGTTTAGCAACTAGGTTGCCCAGGGCACTGTGCTTTGGGAACCGGAGCCCAGCCGTCCCCTGCCCCTCATCCCTAAGCTCCGCCCACCTTGTCGTTGATCAGCAGCTCCATTGGCTCAAGGCCGGCCTCCAGCAGCACGATCTCATTGGCCTGCCCGGGCACGGAGTAGGAGAAGGGGGTGCCCTGCCCGGAGCCACCTGACCTGGAGCGCAGCCACATGCAGGCGGTGAAGGCGTACAGCTCCGGCAGCGCCTTGCGCACGCGAGCGTACATGTAGTTGTTGCGAATGGGGATGCTGAGCTTGAAGGCATCCGGGGGACTGTAGGCCGAGGACCCTGGAAGGGACAGGGCGGGGTCAGTGGACACAGCACGAGGAGGGCTGGTGGCTGCAGGCCACCCGCGGGGCGGGGGTGTGTACCAAGGGCCTTCTTTTGCCCCCCGGGCTGAGAGGTGTGACTCAGATAGGCCCAGGGGCTCTCAAATTCAGATGCCGAGTTCAGATCTCACCATCACTCCTTTCTGACCTGTGACGCAACCTCCTGGCGCCTCCATTTCTTCAGTAAAATGGGCGAATGAAACATTCTCCATTCCACACCGCGAGGGTTGGGAGGCCTATAGGTCGGACACTAGCTGCAATCGTGACTATTGGCAGCTGTTCACCTACTTAAGAAGTGTTGGGTGGTCGCTGTGGGCGGCAGGCCGGCGCCTCGCATGCGAACGAGGCAGCCACTGTTATGGTCCTCGCTTCCTGGGTGTATGCCTTGGCACGCAGAGGTTATTTTCTCAAGGTCACACAAAAGTAAGCGGCAGGGCTGAGATTTGAACAAAGAGTCAAAGACTCAGCTCCGTTTAGAGACAGGAACGGAGCCCCGGGATGGAAGGTGATGAGCGTGGGGACCCCACCATGATTGTCCACCTCTGTCCTGCAGTCAGCTAGGAGAGGAGGCACTTCCGCTGGTTCTGGGGAGGGAGTGCTGGTGTGCAGGGGCAGGAGCCAGACTGAGTGGGGATGGAAGCCGCTGCCACAGTTCCTGGCGCCTCCCTGGAGGGCCCCAGGCCCCCTGCTTCCTTACAGCTGAACCCAGCATGGTCCCTTGGCTCCCACCAGTACTTTCTGCTTCTGCTCCCCAAAGCTGGCTCAAGACCCCCTCCTCCAGGAAGTCACCTGAGTTTCTCCTGAATTTCTGTCCCACATCTAAGCCATGTCCCAGCTTCCCCTGTTTAGGGCCCATGAGAGCTCATAAATCTCTAATCCCGCCCCTCCATCTCTCAGGTGAAGACAGCGAGGCCTTTCGAGGTAGTAGAGCAAGCCCGGGACAGACTCGGAACCCAGGGGGTCCTGATACTTACACCTACACGCTGTCCTTTACGATTCTCTGACCCCTGGCAGTCGCCAGGCTGAAGGTTAAACACACGGCGGAAGGCCGACAGATCTCTCTCTCAAAGCCCTAATTGTAGACGGCTAATTGCATGGCGTGGAGTCTAAGGGATCTGGTCACACGTCTAGACTATCCAATTACCAGCTGTGTGACCTTTGACAAATCACTTGACCTCTCTCAAACTCACTGTCTTCACCTGTGAAAAGCCCTGCAGTTAGCAAAGATTAAATCAGCCAGTGTGTCATTACACAGCCAGCGCCCGGGCCCAGCAGAGCCAGAAATGACAATTGTCAGCGGTAACTTTGAAAGTGACAGAGATTCCCCAGCAGGCTGTCCGGCTCACATTCCACAGCCTCTCTCTGGAAGATGCAGCCAGATAACAGGGCCTGGCAGCTCAGCCATCTACATCCTGGTACCTACCGTGCTCCAGCTCAGCCACACGCCCCTGCAAGGCATCCAGCTCCTTCTCCACTTCCTGCCGCTGCTGGTGGCTGCCATGACTGAGGGCAGCACGCTCCTTCTCCAGCGCCAGCACCTTCGCCAGCAGCTGGCCTTCTAGCTCATCCATCTTGGAGTGCAGGGCAGTGGGCACGGCTGGGGCTGGCGCTGAGGAGAGGTTCCCACGGGCTGGGAGTTCCTGCTGCTCCAGAGGGAAAAGGAAGGGCGGTGATGTCACACGGAGGTGCCACTGACCCGCCCGCCATCATAGGTGAGCCTAGCTTCTGGTAGCGATGGCAGGCAGCCTACACAGACAGAGCCTGCACGCTGTGAGGACTCGCACAAACACAGCCTGGCAGTGGGAAAGGACCACACTGGGAGCTTCAACAGCCCTCTGTGGCTGGGCCCTGGGGCACAAGTTGGGACATAGTTGAGAGCAGGGCCTGCTATGGCCATTTGTGGCCTCCCAGGACACACCCAAGGCTGAGGCCTGGTTGTCCGGATGGGACTCTAGTAGCGTCATCTTGGGATTGTGGGAACAATCCCAGACTCAAGTGATAGCCAAGGACTCCAGCCCAGCTTGGGAACCAACCTGCTGTACGATGCTAGGAAAGCCTGTAGACTATTCCGAATTTATTTCCTCTTGAAACAACTACACTAATCATCTTGGAACCGTTCTGACGTGGATTATGTGGCAAACACCAGTAAACAGAGCCTGCTGGCTGCCAGTGTCTTTCGAATTCAGGGTGTCCTAAGGCAGGCTGACACCCTCTCTCCAGCCCAGGATGAGGCCCATGGTCAGAGTCCTCTTTGTCCTGTCTTAAACTGGGCGGAACTGAGTCAGGCAGGCAAGGCCACAGGCTCAGACTGGTGAGCCCATCACAGAAGCGTCAGCAGAGCTTTGAAGAGCCAAACTGGATGTCACAATTCCTCTAGCTTCCTTCATCCCCTGCAGTCCCCCCAACTTCTTCAGGGCTCAATGCTTCCACACTCCTCAGGGGTCCAGGCAGCGAGTGATACCTGGGCTCCTGGCTTAGGCCCCAAGAATGGAAGCTCAGTAGTATCTTCAGTGCTTGGGACACACAGTAGGACCACAGAACATAGTAGATGCTTGCGGCACACAGTAGGTGTTTATTCGTGTCAATGAACAAATCGGGAAGATTCTCTGAGCAGAGGTGAGAGGCAGTTTTGAAGTTGCCCAAGACCCCAGTCCTTTGAGGCACCCTCACACCTTATGTGGGAGCCACTCAGCAGAGCTGGGGGCAGATGGGACACGGAAGGTGCAGGGCTCCCGGGGAGGGGGGGGGTAAGCTTCATGGCAGATTCTGAGAGGAGCCCGTGGCTGGTGGGAGTGAGCAGGATGAACTGTCTGACCCCTCCAGTGTTCCCCGTGACTTCCCCTGAGCCTCCCTGCTATGACAGGTCCAAAGGGTGGCTAGGGCTTGTGTCCCACTGGTGTCTTTCAACACAAGCCATTCCCTTGAAACACTGTGGCTGACGAACCCCCCAGCCAGGCTGTGGGCCTCTCTCCCTGTGCCTGACACAGCCCTGACCACGTGGGGTGTTGCAGAGCCCCGGCTTATAGGCAGAATGATGGTGCCAGACCATCCCCCTGCTCATGAGGGACAGGAGCAAGGCTGAGGGTGAACCCTGCACCTCTTCAGCCTGAGGCCACAGCACTGATCACCACAGCAGCTCCTGTGCCCCAGGTCACATTGATACAAGGGGCACAATTGTCCCCTCGTCACAAGAAGAGTTAAGAGACATGCCCAGTGTCACCAAGCAAATGACCAGCAAGGCCAGGGCTGGGTCACTGAGGCTGAAACAGTCTGACTTGACCAGGGGTGGGGCTTGTGCCCGGAGGCTTGGGGTACTTAGGAAATGCTGACGGACACTGTCCTGTCTCTAGCTTGGTGTCCTCCCCTCCCTTCCTGGAGTGACCAGGACAGAACTGTTTACACTGTAGGAGTCTGGCTGCTTCCTTCAAGGGGACACACAGGTGGCTGGGGGAGGGGAGCGGACAAGCTGTCCTCTGTCAAAGCTCCTGTTTGGTGGCACCGGGAGGCCAGGGAGGAGGGGGTCCGGGGGCCAGGCAGCAGCCTCCCCCCACCCCAGCATGTGAATCAGAGAAACACGACGCCCCCATCCCATCCCGCTTCCATCTGCCACAGCGCAGGCTGTGTGGCGTGGGCTCCGGGCCTCATGCCAGGTGGGCCCTAGCCTGAGACGGCAGGGGGACAGCGGAGATGATGTCACACTATCCCCCACTCAGTGCCTGATAGGGCAGGAAGTGGGGGTGGGCTGGACTCCAGGTGCGTTGATGAGAGTCCGTGGTGGAGTTTATCATATGCGGGCCTACAGCCAAAGCCCAGGGTTCTAGGCCCAGCTCAGCCGCTCATGAGCTAATGGGAGGGGGGGAGGGGGGGAAGGACTCCTTAGCACTCAACAGGAGCCACCAGGAGCAACAGCATTGCTGACATGGAGCAAATTTCTCAGATGCTTTCCCTTCCTGAGGACTGAGTCAGAGACCGGGATGTTGCAGCTCAGAGAGGGTGTCCTATGCCCACTCCTCAAACCAACCCTCACAGCCTGAGTGTCAGTTCGTTCTTCTGCCAAGTGGGTATGTAATATTGCCCTGGCTGCTACGAGGCTTAAAGGGACGGTCTCAGCGGCCATGAGAAAGGCAGGCTGTGACCCCATAGGAGGGTCCTGCTAGTGCGACATGGCCGAGGTGCAGAAAGAAGTGGGAAAGCCACCTGCCTTGGCCTCGTACAAGCGACGGGGTAAGAGGAAGGGCCGGACTTCTGGGTCCACGCACAGGTCACTGCCCCCATGCCCTGTCCCCTCCCCCACCTGTTCAGCTCAGGTTCTGGGGACAGCAGGGTAGGCCTCTTCACTCCACTGTGCACATACTCCGAGAGTCCTACCAGCTTGCCCCCTGCCTTTACCAGCTGAGTGGTTTGTTATGGAAAGATGCCTGCCTCAGTTTCCCTGAGGCACAAGAGCAATATTATCTCGGAGCCCACAGGGGGCCTGGGACATGTCTTAAGGGGACTGTAGACGACGCTGGGTCGGCAGACGGCCCCGGCCCTGCACAAGCTGTGTGTGATCCCTCAGGAGGTGGAGTCAGGCAGGTCAGAAGTTTAAGGTCATCCTTGGCTACATACCTAGTTCAAGGCCAGCCTGGGTTACATGAGATCCCGGCTCAAAAAGTAAATAAATAAACAAATAAATACCGCCTTGAAAGGACTCACCTTTCTCTGCGTGCAGCCCTGAAACCATTCGTCAGGCTGCATTGAGAGAAAAGCGAGGCGGGGTGGTCAGCACTACCAGACATCAGGTGACGCCAGCAGAAGGCGGGGGTGAGGTGGCTGACTCCAAACAAGGTGCCCGTGCCCCCAGCACCCCAGTGCCCTCTCGCCCTGAGGCCCCAGCACATGGCGTTCCTCCTGCCAGGAATATTCTTCCTGTCCCACCCCATCCTTGGCCGAGGGAGAGCCTGCTCTCTCAGATGGCAGCTTCCCCTGCCGCCCGGGCCAAGATGCTCCAGGAAGGGAACGGGGTTCCAAGCTTCCGAGCCCTCATTCCCTCGCTCATCCAGTGGTGTGGTGTCGGCGTGACGGTCACCGACCCTCCGCTGACTGGTCGGTCGGTCTGCACAGCTGCTGCATTTCTCACCTTGAGCAAGCTCCTCAGCCCTCCGACCCTCACGGTCGGCCATCTGTGAAAGTCAGGCTGTGTTGTCCCACATTTGGGGCGCAAGTGATGAGATGCAGGGCGGGACCCAAGTCCGGCGTATCACAAGCGGCTCTCGGGCAGTCGTTACTATTAAGGTTATCTTTACTGAGGAGAAAGAGGGGTGGGGTTGGAGCTGGATGGCTGGATCCAAAAGCCAGCTGAGCCACGTGTGCGCACTCCCTGATGATGAGGCTGAGCCTCCCCTGGTGTCCTCAGCAAATATGGGACCCGCTGTCCCAACCCCAATACAAGTAAGTCCCTGGGTCTCTCTGATCCTAGTCTCCCTGGGTCGAGCCACGGAGGACACATAAGCTCAACGGTTGTCCTCAGGGTTCAATGGGGATAAGACGCTCAAGCCATCTTGGGGATGCCCTGTTAAGTTCACTCCTTGGTGAGCAGCCCAACCTTTGACCTTATCCCACCACAGACGAAGACCTCCAGGGTGGAACAGTGCCTGACATCGTGGATTAGCCGAACCATACGCGTTTAAACCATCAGAGTCCTGAGTCCCTGACACCCACCAGCTCGGGGAAGCTTGCAGATGACCAGGCCTGGTGGGCGAGGCTCGCTCTTGGGTGGGTGTGGAGACTCTCACAGCCACTTTGGGAAAATGTGTCACAGTACCTACCGATGCTAAATTTATGTCCCTGCTGGCACCCGGGCGTCCCACTGCTGGGGGCAGGGCCAGCAGAAACGAGGGCTGGTGGCCACCCAAGGAGACCACACAGTGTTCACAGCGGCTTCTCGCTGGTGTCAGAGAGAACCCGAGGGTCCGTCCTCAGATAAGCAGATGACAGTGCCCCCGCACAGGGAGCAGTGGCAGCTGCCGCAGACACCTGACCTGTGGCTCACGAACAGAACCGCTCAAGGTTCCAATACAAGCAAAACCACCAGCGGTGACTACGGCCAGAATGAGGGGACCTCAGTGACTTTGGGGGCCTGAGAAGGTTCTAGCTGTCACCCTAGGAGTGCTTTCCCTGGGTGCCCACATATCTCTGTCCAGACCCTGTCCACTGGAGATTCGTGTCCTTTATAAGGGAGACATGTGAACCCTTACAGTTCTCGGATATACGGTAGACCTCAGAAATAAGGAGTGTGTTTCTGACAGCAGGAAGGGCCTCTCTTTCTTGGAGGGCTTTCTAAAAGGACATTAACTGAGGATCAGACACAAGAAGGCTTGTTAGGTCACAGCATGGCGGTGGCAGGTCCTAGATTTACAAAGCCAGGCTTCTTGTTAGGATAAGGGCCTGCAATTACAGGCTCGGGTTAGGGGCCTTTCCTAGTCCAGCTCACCCACCTTACAGACATGTAAACTGAGGTCTGGAAAGGGAGTGTTCCAAGCAATAAGTGAGCCCAGTGCAGCTGCCCCCACCCAGGGGAGGGGTGCATATAGAGCTGGCAAGGTATCTAGGAAATATCTGGTCTGCTGTGGGTTTGTCATTTTTTTTTTTTTTTTTTTTTTGAGATGGAGTTTCGTGTAGCCCAGGCTGGCCTTGAACTTATTATACAGCTGAGGATGACTTTAGAACCCTGGGAACCCTGACAGAGGCAAGGGGCAGAGCTCTGCCTGTATTGCATCCCTCAGACTCTGAGCTTTCAGGTCTCCTCTTCCCGAGGCAGAAACGTGCCTGGCCTATTTCACGTGGCAGAAGGAAGGGGCTAATGTATAATACATACCTAAGAAGGGCCAGCTGCTCCCGGCAGCCCCAGGAGAGCCTCCACACCAGCTGGCCAGCCTCCGAGGCCTGCCCAGCACCAAGCTCCCACTTAGTACCCAAAGATGGAGGTGGGCACTGCCCTCCTCTGTGTCCTCACTGTCTTGGAAGTGGGAAATGTCTGACCCCTGCAGAACGCAGAGTCAACGTGAAGAACCTGGCAGGACCCTGGAGGGAGACACCGATAGGTCAAATCCAGGCTCTGATGCTGGGTGACCCGGAGTCAGTGTTTTAACCTCTCTGAGTCTGGTTTATCTGCAGGAAAGAAATGGTTTTTTTTCCTCCACAGAGTGAAGGGAGGATTAAATGAGATGCTGTCAAGTTCCCTGATGCACGGTAAGTGCTTAGTAATCCGGACCATCACTATTAGAACATCAGTAAGTGTGGCTTCCCTGAACCCAGCATCCGCTGGGATTCCCATCAGGGTGCTCTCCGCCCTGGCTCTGCTCCAGGACGGGGGCGGGGCGGCGGCAGAGGACAGGGTTGATGTCAAGGAAAATCTTTACCCTACACATATATTAACACACACAAAAAAGGCAACCCTGAGACACGCCAGCATGGCCAGATGCCACGTAAGTGGACCGGCTGCCTTGGAAAGTGGTTCCTGGCCATAGTCAAGAGAAGCCAACATCCTCTGACCTGGGAATGGCTCTCCTGGGACTTCAGCTAAGGGCTCGCTTCAACAGACGAAAGAAGAAACAAACAACTTTGCCACAGCCCACAGAAGAGAAGAATCAGAGGCAACCTGTACCCAGCCCCAGCCACAGAGCCAAGTGGTGGCAGATGGATGATGGGGGGGTGTGGAATGGGGATTCTGCCCTGGCCTGTGCCTGCAGGTGGGCTGGTATCAGGGGGCTGCAAAAGGGGAGGGGGAAATAGTGGGGGGTTAACTGAGAAGTTTCTCCCCAAACTTGTTGACTTTTTCCAGTGAACAATAAAAATAAATACATTTTAAAAAATGTTTTGTTTTTTTTCCCTGAAGTCCTCAAACATGGTTATGAGGAAAAGGCCAGCCTGACTTCTCCACTTGTTGAAATCAGGTCTGGTTGGAAGGAACAGGGGTAACCCAGAGGTACATGATGGGTGGTGGGGGAGGGGGAGGTGCACAAATGGGTGGTGGTGGCGGTGGGGTCCTGGTATGGTCAGGGAAGGTCTCTGGGAGGACAGAATCTTAGAGAAGGTGTTAATGTGTGGAGGGACCTGGAGATGGGGGGGCTGTGGCAGGGGGAAAGGGGCCAGCAAGGCAAAGACTGGAAAACCCCTTCAGTTTATCACCTCTGGGGACACTGGCAAGAGTGAATTCAGGAGACTGCAAGGGCGACGGCAGACCCTGCAGATCTGAGCTTTTACCCATCCTGGATGAGAAGAGAGGAGAGAAACCAGCCAGTGGCCTAGATGTGCACGAGTCCCCAACGAGAGTGCAGAGTGACCGGAGGTCTGGCTGCCTCCAGGCTCCAAAATCAGAGCTGGTAGCAGCTGCGTGTCCGCCGCCCTCAGCAAACACGAGAAGGTGAATGTGGGGAAGCCAGGGCTCCCCGAGCCTGGGAAGCTGAGCCGCTGCCAAGTCCCAGCCACCAGGATCTCTCAGGCTCGGGCTGGCCCACTGTAGGGAAGCCCACCCTGCCAAGAGCCAGGTGCCAGGGATCAGGGCCAGGGTCAACCCTGCCCTGTGAGGTACAGACGTGGGAGGAGCCACCTGTGCCATCTGTGGTGCCAGGGCTAGCGCAGCGAGGGAAAGTTGAGGGGAAAATCAAATGGTTTTCGTGTTAGTACAGTCTTCTTAAAGGCAGAGTTTGCTCCGTTTATGTACTTTCTATCTTTGCAGCTGGAGCAGCCGGTGAGACATACATTATCACCGTCCTACAGGTGAGGAGACTAAAGCTTTTGTCTGGTCCTTGGCTTTAGGAACCTCACCCCTGGGCAGGGAAGAGGGGTGCTGGCCTGGCTGGCCTCCCTCTCTACCACTCAGCTCAGGAGGTCTGAGTTGGATTTTCTCATCTCCATGAGGGGAGTGAACGCCCTAGGGGTGGTGCGGGGAGACTGTGGCCTGATGCCTGAAGGTGGGGATGTGAGCAGCTCCTGGGGTGCGGCCTATAACCTTCCCACCTGCACCCTCAGATTGAACTTGGAGCCATATGCATGCGCCCCCCCCCCCCCCCCACCATTTAGCTCGCCGTAGCGTCTGCCCTGTCTCTCCCCTCCTTCACAGAATACCCAGTGTCTGGAAATCAGTTCCTGCCTGGGGATGGCCAAGGCTTCCTTGCTGTTTACCCTGCCCAATCTGTTTGTCTCACTCATACTTCTCCAGACCGGGAATTTGTAGCAGGGAGGGAGGGAACCATAGGTGTGATCAATCCAAGGGCTTAGCCCCACACACAACCCAAAGTAGGGTCCCTACTGCCCCTGCATCTGCCCCGGAAAGGGAGGAGGAGGGAGCTGAATGGATCCCTGGAGGGAAGTCATCCGCAGACTCCCAAGAGCCCAGAGCTTCAGGTATAAAAAGCTGGGCGTGGCCGGAGAGTGGGAAGCGGCGCTCAGGTTGGCGCTAACGGGACAGACACTCTTGGGCTTGAGAGGAGTAGGAGACTATGGCGCGGGTGCCGCTCTGTGTTCCGGTAAAAGGCCATCTGGAGATCCCCACCTCTAAGCATCAGCATCCCCACGCCTGCCTCCCAGGCAATTCCCACCGCGAGCGGACGCCGTTCTCCCACTCGCGTGCCTCGGTCACCCGTGATTCAGACCAGGATGCTCCCACGGTACCTGCCAGGAACGGGCTACGGGGGACCCGACGGCAGCCCCCAGGGACCCGGGACCCGCGCGCGCCGGCCCCACCCCGCGCCCCACCCCCTCCGACGGCGCGCGGCTCACCTCGATGCGCTCGATGCGGTCCCGCAGCGCGCGCACCGCGTCCTCCAGCTCCAGGAGCAGCGCGGGCGAGTCCCAGGCGCCGTCGGCCATGGTGTCACGGCGCGGCCCGGCGTCCTGGAGGCCGCGCGGCAGGCCGCTCTCGCAGCGGCCCAGCTTGCCCGTGAGCTCGCGGATGGTGTCCCGGTCGGCGCGGATGCGCGCCTCCTGCTGCAGCGCCGTCTGGCGCAGTTGCTCCGCCGTGCTCTGCAGCAGCAGCAGCTCGGCGCGCTCGCCCGCCGCGTCCCCCTGCTCGGCCCCCGACGGGCAGGCGGCGGCCAGCGGCGTGCAGAGGAAGCGGCTGAGCAGCGGCCCGGCCGGCGGAGGAGGCGGGAAGACGCTGGCTGCCGGCTCCCCCGGGAACACCGAGGGCCCGGCCGAGCCCCCCGCGCCGTGCAGGGCGCTCAGGCTACGCTGCGGGCCCGGGGCGCCGGCGGCCGAGGCGTTGTCGGGGCCGCCGGGCAGCGCGCGCGCGGGGCTGGCCGCCAGGGGCACGCTGGCGATGATGCAGATGACGGCACCGAGGAACGCCAGCATGCCCGCGGCCAGCAGCACGGCCAGGAACTGCAGCGTGAGGCTCGGAGGGGGCGCGCGAGGCCCCCCGGCAGGCTCGGCGGCGGGGTCGGGGCGCGGGGCCCGGGGGTGGGGCGGGGGGGACGCAGGAGCCGGAGCGGGAGCCGCCGGAGCTGTCGCCGCGGCCGCTGCTGCCGCCGCTCTGAGCCCGCGCGGCGGGAGGAGGAGGAGGAGGCGGGCGCGGCGGCCCCGCCCCACTTGCTCCCCCGGGGGCCGGCCGAAGCCCAGCCCCGCACCCTTTCCTTGCCAGGAGCCCAGGCTCCTGCGCCACGCCCAGGAGGGCGGTGCCTGGATGCCTAGGCCGAGGCTGGGTTCGGGGCTCTGGTCCTCTCCAGGTCCCCGGAAGGCAGACAGACAGCTGCGTCCCTGCTGTGTCCCTGCCTGGCCTCAGCGTGCTGCAGTTAACACTACAAAGGAGGAAACTGAGGGCTCCGGGCTCAGCACGATGGAGGCTGGCTCGGTGGAAGTTAAGCTTTGGCTGGAACGTGCTCTTGTTTCAAGGAGGAAACTGGGCCCCGTGGGGGCCACGTGGCAGTCCAAGGTCGAACAGCTAGCTTGCGTGAGAAGCAGCATTTGAGGTAAACCGAGTCTGGGAAGAGTGGAGACGGCAGTCGCGTGGGCGACTCGGCCTGATCTGTCTCTGCTGTGGTCACCTGCCACCTCCTAGAGGAGTGGGGTTGACCCCTTTCCGACTCCTGGGATGGCAGGGACTAGCACAAGCACCCCCATCTGAACCCTGGGCCTGCGGGGATCGAGGGTCCACCCCAGCTCTCTGCAGCCTCCATCAGAGTGGCAGGCGGGAAGCAAGCTGGTGGGCGCTGGGACCAGGCAGGAGTGGGCTGTGTGTGTGGGCTCTACTTTATCGTGTCTAAAATGTCTCTATATATATTCTGTTGAAAATTAACTTCGCGATAAAAAAAAAAAAATTAAAAAATGTTCCCACCCTTTCTGATGCAGCCTCAGCCCGTCTGCAAGCTGTCTCTGCCTGGGGTGGATTTCTGAGTCGGAAGAGCTCCGGGAGGCTGTGAAGGTTCCTGCTGCAGCCTGGGGCTCCTGTGAATTGCTCTCTAAGACCCCAGCCTGCAAACCTTGACCTGAAGAGTCGCTGACCCCCACAGCTGCCACTGCGGACGTGACTGGGATGGGGACCAGGACATTCCTAAGCAGGCAGCAGCTCCCCCAGAAACCTGGGGGGAACCTACCTGGCCACTGACACCCCATCGGTGGTCCATGGGTGTGTGTTTCAACTCCCCCCACTGCGCACTCGTTGAGGACTATTTTCCCCTTGCTCACCCAACTCCTAGAGTCAGGAATTGTCCAGATCTGTGTAGTAAATGGCACAGGAGCCCAGCAAATGCAAGCTCATCATGAAGAGCCAGGGCCTGTTATGAATGGCTGGGAGTCACTAATCTGAAAGCCCAGCCTAGACAGCGTGGAAGCTGTCACAACTGGGAGAGCTAGCCTCAGATCTTTGGAGGCAAGAACAGGCTGAGGGCCCCCTGAAGCCTTAAGAGTGTGGAAGGCCTCAGCTCCCCAGCTGACTCTAATGTGCCCATGAAGGTGGACACATAGACACTATCCCCAGGGGGAAAATGTCCTTTGAGATCCAGCAAGGCCAGGAGAGGTCAAGAGGTCAGAGCAGTCAACTGTGGTTTGAGCGTCATCAGCTGCCCCGAGTTCGGAGACAGCCAGATAGATGAGTGCAGGAGTTGAGCCTTATTTAAACTGGTCCATTAGCTGCTTAGCATGAATATTAAGCCAGCGGTATGAATAAGTCGCCCCTCTGCTTGAACATCTGCCGGTGACACCTCATCTCTTGTCCAGGACTATCTTTCCGGGGCCATCTATATGGTAAACATCCTTAAACAGGGCGAGTGTTGCCCTCTGACCAGTACAGTTCACCATTCCGTGGCCATGGTGGGGAGCGTCAGCTGATAGCCCATCAAAAGAAGACAGAGGCTGTCTTAGCTACAGTGTGCTGGCTGTACGGCAGACCTGTTATGTGTATCCGTCTAGGGTGCCTGTGTTGCTCCATGAAGGCTCAGGAGGCTGTTGCCTACATACAGGAAATGCTGCCTGCTTAGACGTGAGTGATGAAGTCTCTCTGCCGTCCCCCCACCCCCCATAGGAGACTCTTGACTCTCCCCAGCATCTGTGAAACCTGATGACTTGCTGGGTTGGTTGTTTTTGAGACAAGGCCTTTCTACGTAGCCCTTGATGACTTGGAACTCTCTATGTAGACTATGTGGGCTTCAAACTCATAAGAGATCCCCCTGCCTCTGCCTCTGGCCTCAGAAAGCTGGGATTAAAGGTGTGCGCTGTCACCCCTGGCCCTAACTTGACAGTGTTTGCAGGTGAGGTGAATCTCAGGCCTTTCACACCTCTTGACACCCTCTGGGTCTCCCTGAAGAGCATGAGGACTGATGAGGGTATACAAACAAACAGCTGCAGAGTGCTCCGTTGGCAGAGCACTTGGCTAACAGCATGACGCCTCCATGCCACGTAAAGCCAGAGTATGGTACACGGCTGTAATCGCAGCATTTGGGAGGTAGAGACGGGAAGGTTAGGAGTTCTGGGTCGAAGCCAGGTGTGGTGGCACACGCCTGTAACCCCAGCACTCAGGGAGGCAGAGGCAGGCAGATTGCTGGTGAGTTCCAGATTGCTGGGCTTCCTGAGACCCTACGGAGACAGAGACAGACAGATGGGGGAGGGGGGGTAGCCTGAGCACAATTTGATTTTCCGTCCCTGTGCCAGCTACTCGCAGCAATCTCAAACTGTGAGTGGCCCAGACACCGGATTACCTCCCATGTCTGCATAGGCCCGTGGAAGCCCAGCCTGCAGCGTCACTGCCTCCATTCCCCTCCAGTACTCAGATCAACCTCCTTCCCTGACCTCCAGTGGTTTCCTGGAGAATACCTGCCGAAGCAGCTTCCCTGCAGCGCCACCGCTCTGGGAGCAGCACCGAGGGTGGGCCGGGCCTCTCCTGGGATTGCGTCTCCTTTATCCAAACAGCCTCCTACAGGGCTGATCAGAGCGGTGTCCTCCCTTGTTTCCACATCACAAGTCTCACATCTCTTTGTTTTCTTTTCTAGTGCCTGGGTACAGAATCCAGGGCCCGGGAATGTTATGCAAGTGCTCTATCCTGGATACACCCCCAGAATTCCTGTTTTGTTTTTTTCTTCATTTTCAGTTCATTCTTAGGATGAGGGATTTCTTTTTAAAAATAAATAACACATATATTTATTAGGATTTTTTTTTTGGGGGGGGGCTCGGTGTGGTGGTGCACTCCTTTGATCCTAGCACTTGGGAAGCAGAGGCAGGGGAATTTCTGTGAGTGCCAGACCAACCTGGTCTATGCTGTGAGTTTCAGGCCAGCTGGAGCTACACATTAAGACCCTGTGTAACAACCACAACAGAATCTAGGTTTGGTGGTACAAGTCTGTAAGTGTGATGGGTTCTGGGCAGCTAGATTGGTCCCAAGGGCTTTCTGGCTAACATAGCCAAAATGGCGAGTTCAGTGAGAGATACTGCCTCAAAAAATAAGATGGAGAGCAAATGAGGAAGACATCAATGCTAAGCTATGGCCCCTACATATATGTGCAAGCACACACATGTACCTCACATACATGAACACATATGCACACGTATACCACAAATAAAGTAAATAAGTAGACAAATGAAAGTTCCGATCAGTTAGTGTTTATCACGCTGTGGCTAATTTAAAAGGAACAGGCAGGAAAAGAGCGGAATGGGTGCAAGAATTATGATTACATCACTTCTAAAAACATAGGCTGTGGGTCAGTGGGCTGGCATAGCAGGTCAAGGCACTCGCTGGCATCCTGAGTTCAATCCCTGGGACCCGCATGATAAAAGGAGAAAACTGACGGCTGCAAGTCGTCCTCTTATCTTCACACAAGTGCTGCAGCATGCACATGCCCCCCCCCCCCATAAATTTATGAATGTAATAAAAATTTTAAGCTGCTGGATAGGTTATGGCAGTCTTGAAAGCCGGCCTGGAGCAGAGCCGGGGTCTGAATGTGAGCTTGGGACCACCACCACACCAGATGACCTGGGATTTTTTCTCAGTTTTAGGGGCGTGTGTCCTGCACCCCAGGGAACCTCTCAGCCCTGGATGAGCCACAGATCTGGCCCCACCGCCTGGGTCCCCAAAGCCCAGTCACTCTGCCGCACGCCCTCCATGTTGCCAGGGACTGAATTGCCACCACACACCCTTCTCTCCCTTCAGCCCTCCCTTGCAGCACCTTCTGGTGTAGACGGGCTGGGACCAGCTTTCACAGCCCCAGCTCCTGCTGGATGGCGTGACTGGAGACAGTGGCCCCCTTTTGAGGGTGCGCCTGTGAGCAAAGCAACCCCTTCCTCTCAGGGGATGGGGAAGGAGGCCACCTCTCCATATTAAGGACCAGCTAGTCTCCAGGAGGGCTGGTCTCTGGCAGGAGCTGTCTTATCTCATCTGCCCACGGAGTCAGTGACACCTGCTTGACAGGATGTAATGAGAAGTGAGGAGGGACATTGCGTAGACCTCTCACCCCAGGGGTCAGGTTCAGGCACCATATCTTTTCTTTTTACTGTTTTATTTTATCTATCTGTCTGCCTGTCTAGTATGTCATGCATGTACGGAGCTCAGAGGACAATTTCAGGGGTTGTTTCTCTTTTCCTTCTATCATGTGGCTCCTGAGTAGCAAGCAAACTCAGGCCAGGATTGGCAGCAAAGTGCCTCTAACCACTGGGCCACCTTTTGGGCCCCAGGCTCCATTTCTTACCACATGGCTTTGTATTTCCAGAGCACAGAAGAGTGTTTGCCATTCAGAAGGTGACTAATAAATGCTACCTGGTTCCTTCTGTGTTTCTGAGCATGGACTGGGTGCTTTCCAGTGTGACTTTCCTCTCTTCACGCCCTCCTGCCTCCTTTACGGCTGCAGTCCTGAGCTCATTTATAAAATTTGGCTCAACACACTCCAGCCTCTCTGGAGGGAACCAGGGCCCTACCAGGACCCAAATATGTTTGCGAATTTGTAGTAGATGCTGAGACAAGCGCTCCTGACCAATAG